AGAGAAAATTTTCATTCGTTTCATTTTTCTTTTTAAAACAACTTGCATTGTCCTTCAAATATTCATCGAATTCAAAAGAAGATAATTTCTTTTTCAGATAAACAGGCTTTCTTTCGCTTCTATCCGATCACCGAATAATCAACAAAATGGTTAAGGAACACGGCTGGTATCCATATGAATTTCAATCCGGGTAAGAAACATCAGTTCGCATCGAATGATTGCCATTTTTCTTTTCGTTTTCTAGTACAACAGTTGCAGTTGCCGGTGATGATTACGTCGTTGTTGCAAGTGACACACGTTTAACTGAAAACCATGCTATCTTATCTCGTACACATAGCAATGTGTACAAAATGTAGGCGTTCAACTTCGGAAAAAGCGAAACATGATAAAGAGTATTTCTGTTTGTAGGCACAACAATTCTTTACTTTTATCAACAGGTTTTCTTGGCGATGTTCTTACATTGAAGAAAACACTGGAAGGTCGTATTAAAGTAAGTTTAGAATGGAGAAATAAGAGAGAATATACGAATGGTTTTGTTTAGACGTATGAATATACACATAACAAACCAATATCAACACCTGCTTTAGCTCAGATGATTTCAATTATGATGTATGGTCGCCGCTTTTTTCCTTACTATACAAATACTGTTATCACTGGTTTGGATACTGACGGTAAAGGATGTGTGTTCGCATTCGATCCCGTTGGTTCCATGACACAACAACTTTACGCATGTGAAGGTAGCGCTATGCCACTTATTTTACCTATTCTCGATGCGCATGTAAGTGAATTGAATGAGTATTTTGTTGAATTTTACATAATTTATTCTTAGATTCTTGGTAAGAATACCTCGAAACCAGGTCCAGTTAAACGTACAAAGGAAGAAACAGTTAAAATGATTAAGGATATTTATATGGCTGCTTGTGAACGTAATGTTGAACTTGGTGATGGTGTTGTGATCCATGTGTTAACAAAAGACAAAGGAATTGAAACAGATGTTCATCCATTACGTAAAGACTAGGATATCAAACGAATGCCAACTAGACTTTATTTACGTTTATTGTTAAACAAAAGCGAATTTTTCTTTTTTTCAGTTTCTTAAACAAGAACTTTAAACTATTCAAATCATCCTTGTCTTCTCTTCATTGCTCGCTTTTTTTAGATATGCCTTTCATTGAGGACTGGATCACGCATCCGATGACAATCATCAATCGGTTGCACGGTAAGACTTCTTCATTGGCCTTTCTTTGTCTTATGAAAGGTTTTATTTCCAGAAAAATCACCAGCAACCTTTGAACAGGATGTCCAAGCTTATTTTCGAACAAATATCGATAATCCAGAATTGTACAAAGAAATTCCATCATTGAATGATCGAGAAAGTGAACATCCATTACCTTCAGGTTGTCTCGTACGTTATCGAGCAATGATCCAAGATATGGGGGACGACGAAATCTATTGCAGTAAGTGTTCGATCATAGATTGATCCTTTGATAATGTTTCATTTTGTAGCACATTACAAAGTTCGTTCGAGTGACCATCGACAAGTCGAAGTGGAAAAATCGGCCAAGTACACCGATTTATTTATTTGTCCAGTAAGAGAAAAAGTTGGCTTCGGTGATGAAATTCTTCGTTTTTGTTTAGCCGGGATACACGGTCATTGATCAGGAGCCTCCACGGGAAAAATTCAGTTCGCGTCAATGTTTTTCGTGCATTCCTGTCCCCAATGAAACACAATGGGTTAAAGAAGGCTATCGAGCTCATTTTGGAGAGGAGTTTACAATGCAAAAAAGGTAAATTATCATCGACATTCGATCGTCAGATGAACAAACTTGTCTTGCAGATCATTTGATGATTACAGTAATATTCAACAGTTATTATCTCCCATGAAACGTTTGAAAACAGCAGCGCCAATGGAAACAAGTAGTGAAAGCAGTGAAACAACAGTCAAAACAGAACCAGTGAAAGCAATTTCCAAACCTGAATATATCGTCAAAGTAAAGAAAACGAATAATTCCTATTGAAATCTTATAGTCTTTCTCCAAACAGGTATATGATTCATCAGATGATATTTTATTGAACACAATAGTTGAATTCATTGGTATTTATTACGATCACGGTGTAATCAAAGCTGACAGTTTACAATCAGCGTAAGTTAAGTTCCTTGCATTTATCCATAATATATCATTTCTTCAAAGAAACGAAATGGATCAAGATCAATCTTTACCACGAAAAACAATTCATTGTATTCAATACAAGAAATTGTCTCATATCAATCCACTTCTTCATTACCAACCGACACTTGAATTAAATCAAAGTACGTTCTTCGACATTTTCCGTTTCCTTCGATTTCACTTCGATTTCTCTTTCAGTACAAATGGCTCGTCAATGTCTCCTCTCGTTATTCGAATCGATTTTTCCCAATGACAAACTTCTCTGCGAATACTTACTTCTACATCTCATTTCACGCACATATGTTCGTCAACCATCGTCGGCATATGGCAAATTATCATTAAATATTTCTCATATATCATCTGAACAATTGCAAACGCTCCAACAATTACTGCAAACTATTCTCTCGCTTCATTCGACGTTATCAATTACCGTGCAAACGTTAAACACGACGCAATTAATGCCGAATAAAAATGTGGCTAAAGACGATGAAAACGACAACTTTCTAATGCAAACTCCACTTCAATTACCATTCAACTCACATTTGCTCATCGATGAAACAAAAATGGAATGTGGACAATTAACTACACTAGGTAATACATGCGTTCTATTGATTAAAGACCGAGAAAACTAATTATTGCATGCTTTTCTTTTCTTGAAGGCCTGAATAATATCAAACTTCTTCAAGATCTTCTTCGTCAACAAACATTGAAATATGAATTTCATATATATCAACTCGATTACGATTGTGACATTCGATGTTTAATCGTTTCATCGACGAAATCCGTCTTACCCTGTGATGTTTACATTCGTTATCAAACTGATCAAGAAGTCGATCAAATCACATTCCCAAATCTTTCAAAAGAGCAGATTGATAACATACGTCGATATTTAACTTATATTGGTCAACAACTCGAACTTGATCAGACAATCAATCAAGCATCGTCAGATATCAATACTTACATTCAAGAAGATTTTGTTAATATGCGGAAACAGAAGTTATTGACAAATCTCGATGATTTTCATCTTTTACTGGTATTAGCAAGGCAAGTCATTTTGTTGAATGAGGAATTTCGGTTAATTTCAGTGAATTTAGATTGGAAACATTATCTCATGGTGAAAATATTTTAACTGAAACTCATTGGAATCAGGCGAAGAGTTTGGAATTTACACGACGCCAACGTATGAATGTTTAGTTCGTTCCTTGTTATTATTTTTCTTTCGTTTGTAAATATACATAAAAAATAGGTACTGTTGAATGATTAAAGCAACTGATTATTTTCAAATTATTCTCTGCAGACATGCGTTAACACTCTCTAAATTATTTTCACTTTCAGATATCTATTGAACGATGACTGACGATAAGAGTCGTTCATCTGTGCCATCATCGGCATCAAATGCTTCAAATGGTACAGCTACTGCCAATAGCACTAGCACAACAACGTCGAAATCCAATCAAAAAGATGTTAAGCCCAATTACACACTCAAGTCTACTCTTACTGGTCATTTAAAAGCGGTTTCATCGTTGAAATTCTCTCCCTCGGGTGAATTACTTGCATCCGGTTCAGCCGATAAAACGATCAAATTATGGGGCGCACATGATGGCAAATGGGAGAAAACGATCAGTGGACATAAATTAGGTATATCGGACTTAGCCTGGTCATCCGATAGTCGATATCTGGTTAGTGCAAGTGATGACAAGACATTGAAAATTTGGGATGTTGCCAAAGCCAAATGTTTAAAAACATTGAAAGGCCACACGAACTATGTGTTCTGCTGTGACTTCAATCCGCAATCGAATTTGATCGTTAGTGGTTCATTCGATGAAAGTGTCAAGATTTGGGATGTAAGATCAAGTAAATGTTTACGCACATTACCAGCACACAGTGACCCAGTCACAGCTGTACATTTCAGGTAAGAGAGAGTTCGTATGAAACATTCATCATCGATGTTTTCATTTCGAATTTTAGTCGAGATGGTACGATGATTGTCTCATCATCATATGATGGTCTTTGTCGTATATGGGATACATCATCCGGCATGTGTTTGAAAACATTAATTGATGATGATAATCCACCAGTTAGTTTTGTTAAGTTTTCGCCAAATGGAAAATATATTCTCGCAGCAACGCTGGACAATACATTGAAACTATGGGATTATTCCAAAGGCAAATCATTGAAGTTGTACACAGGTCATAAAAATGAGAAGTATTGCCTATTTGCCAACTTCTCTGTTACTGGCTCCAAATGGATTGTTTGCGGTTCGGAAGACAACTGTGTTTATTTATGGAATTTACAAACGAAAGAAATCGTACAAAAATTAGAAGGACATACGGATGTTGTCATGTGTTGTGCATGCCATCCAAAGGAGAATATCATTGCAAGTGGAGCCTTAGAAAATGACAAGACTATCAAATTATGGCGAAGTGACATTTGAACAACACTTGTTTTATTGTCTCTATATGTAGATATCTATACTTTCTGTTTTGTATTAATTGAGAGTTTGTTCTTTATCCTATTGTCATTGTCGTTTATTGAATATAAACAAACAAAGAAAAACTATAATGAACTAGCCAAATCATGTATTTTACCCAAAAAAGAAGAAAACCAGCTAAGGTGGTTATTGTCCGTGAAAAATGTTGATATTTACTTCCACAGAGATGTCGCTGAGTACTGCTTGTATGCAAATATTTCATATTCCTATTGGATCTAGTTGACAATCCTATCAAAGAATATTAATAACGCATGCGGACGAACATAGTGTGTCCTATCGGATGGATACTTTTGATATATGTATTTTCTACGATCGTCATTTGGATAAACTGATTTGATACGATGAATTCTCTTAACAATTGTGTACAGGAGTTCATCGAACAACATTCATCCACACTTTTCTCATCAGACAATGCAAATGAGACACATCGTCATCGACTAAGTCGGTTTTCTTCGTCGAATCTTGACATCGAAGATGAGGATCCAAGTTTGTTCTTCCAAGTTTGTCTTCATTGTGGACAATGCAGAACTTTTCTCTTTAGACCTTTTTGTTATAACTCCACCAATCGAGTATTTTCTCCATGTACCATCTCGACTTTGTCGAGAAGAGTTTTTCAAGGTAACTCGTCCGTCGTTTTGCAAATTTTCTTCGAAAAACTTCGTTTTCTAGTTGATTCGTCTTGGTCATCTTCTCATTTGTACTGTTCTTACTGCTAATTCACGTGATATGCTCATGCGAATTCTATGTTTCGATGATGGACATCGCCGAGCACTACATGATCTCAAACTCACCGTATGTCAACACTTTTATTTCAACGATCTTCAGATTAACATTGAATTCTGTTCTAGGCAACTTGTCTATTGAATACTGCTAGTAGTAAAAAGCATGATCAGTACAGAAAATATCGATACAATCGAGATAAAGATGAGATTAGTGATGAAGAGAACGATGATGGAGAATATCAGAGCGGCGATTTTGTACGAGGTAAGTTTCTTCTTCTTAGTTCTATTTGAATACTTGAATTTGGATTTAGTATGCGTGAGTCATGTCGATGTGCAAAAAGAGGAAATTCATGTGACGATCGATCCATCTGCAAACCGTATGTTTAGCTTTGAATTGTCACTTTTCTAATTCGAATGCCTTTCATCTATTAGAACGTTGTCAATCGTCGAAAAAATTGGTAGGAACTCATAATACAGTTTCATTTCATCTGTTTAAGGTCTTGATTCGTTTTAGGGTCTTATCAATGAAGATAATTTACCTCCACATTTTCTGTAAAAAATCCGAGAATGCTTCTGGAAGAGTTCATCGACTTTCCACTTTTGCTTTTAGACTATTGCGTCGTCAAGAAGAACAATGTCAATCTTATGAAGATATTCTCCAGATGTCAAAAGCATTGAATAACCGAGCATGCGTTCAAACCCTATACCAACGATTAAAGAAGCGATTTGAACATTTCCCTGTGCAACAGAATAATGATAGCGAAGCAGCGAATGACATATTGCATATGACTTTAATCGATTCCTTCAAACGGTAAACGATCTACGCATGACGAAATCGAATGATCATGAGAACTTGTTTGCTTTTGTAAATAGAAAACAGATTCCATCGGATGAATACTTTGATAAATTACGTCAAAAGCAGGATCATCAGTGGGCTATTGAAAGGTAAATCGAATTCTAATCATCCAAATACTCTGAGTGAAATTGGAGAAGTGAATTTCATACTAAATATCGGATTGTCTTTATTTTCTGACTTTTTAGCGTTGCTGAAGGTGTACGACTGATGAAAGAAAACGATTCCAGTTCAGCTGTACTTCATTTCAATAAAGCGTTGGCCACGGATCCAAAATGTGTGGATGCACTTGTCGCACGCGGTGCATTATCAGCCAACCAGGGCCATTACAAACGAGCTATGCAAGATTTCGAAGATGCATTAAAAATTGATAATAAACATATCAACGCGTTGAAATATCTGCACGATGTCTTGAATAACATTGCTAACGAGTAAATATCCAACGATGAGTATTACCGGTAAAAAAAAACAACGAATTTCTTCTTTCAGTATGGATGATTATGATGACGCGATCTATTATTTGGAAAAGGCATTACGGTACAAACCAGATGACACTGAAACCGAACGAAAATTAGAAACGTTACGTGCGAAAGTAATAGATAAGTTTAAATTTGGTTCACAAAATGTAATTGATGATCTTTAGAAAAAAGAGGCCATACGAAAGTTGGAATATGGACCATCGTTGCCATCGAATTTGCGCTCGTCCAAAAAAATTCGATCATCAAAATCGCCGAAAAGGAAAAGATCATCAGTGAAAGGGTGAGAACCTTGGCCATAAATATATTCTTTCTGGCATTCCGTCGGCATTCTTTTGAGTTCATCGTCCGTTCACAATGGATCGAAACGGAAACGGAAACGAACCAGATCTCGTACGAGTAGTAGTCGATCAAGTTCATCTTCGTCATCATCATTCTCATCTTCATCGTTGAGTGATTCAACGACCAGCCATTCCGTATCAACCATCTCATCATCATCCTCTACTGATCAGAAAAAGTCGAAATCAATACCAGTCATTGACATTACAGACAAGTATAAATTCGAAATTCATTTCTTCTAATGCGTGTCATTCTCTTCTAGGGATGCATCGACTACTACCCGAACCAAGTGTGTTTTTAGAATAAGATAGAAAGTGTATCCTTCTATGCATTTTATTTTGTATAGTGTGCCGTCTAAATCCTCTGAACAAATCCATTCGTCAAACAAGAAACCGTCTTCAGCAGAATCGAATAACAATGGAAATAGGTTTGTAATGAAGTCATTCTTTTCTTATACGCTAAGCGTGTCTTTTATATAAAAGTTGGAATTTCAAGTGGGATCGCTCATATTCCAATGATCACTCATTAGACAAAAACCAATCCACTTCACAGCGGAAGACTTTACCATCAGCCGTCGAATCTGTTCTATCGATCAAAGAACAGCAACAAAAAAGATCTTCATCGACTACGAATAAGAAGACATCCACAATAAATGATCGAGAGGCACAAGACATCGAAAAACTTTATATGGAATTGAAAGCTAAACAAAGCATGGAGAAACGAAAGAAATGAGAAAATATCTCGCTATTATTCTTTATTCGGTCTTTAATGTTTATTGAAAATAAACATCTTATGTGAAATAGGATAATAAAAACTATGTCAGTCGACCAAATGAACAGTTCATGGCCGACGAAGGCATGAATGCATTCCAACACCCTCAACGGAAGCACTATCACAAAAGTATTCGTTAGAAAATGAGTTACAAAAAAGACAAACTTAATATGCAAAACATTCTTTCTAAAACACATCACCAGTTAGACTCGGTAGACCATGCTCGCAGATACCTTCGACACTATAATTTTTTCCGTAACGATCGTGTCTTCGACTATAAGTTTGATTTTTTGTTGTTCATTCGTTATCCTTGTCATTATTCATCGACAATATCATACTGTATCCATCACACTTACGTGTAACGCACGTATCGCCGTGGCCTTTTATCCTATCTTTCTCATCACGGAATCTATTTATGGTTTACGTGAAGATTAGCAATTCTATCAACCGGTTTGCACTCTTCGTGCATATTGTACAGTTGCCTTATGCGGTTGTTTTTGCTATTTGTATGCCATTCAAGTAATTAGTCGCTTCTTTTTACTGTTTTCTATAAACATTGATATCTTCTTACATGGTACAGTCATTGGATTTTGATTGGAATCAATTGGTTTGTAGGTTTTCTGGTATCTATTCGGCCATTCTTCTCTCCGAATGGTTTTCAACTCGAAATCGAATCTTGTATTTGTATTGTGACACCAAAAGATACATCCGTATCATTGTGCATCATCTTTTTCATTCCGCTTAGGGAAAAATATTATATTTGATTATTGTTATTTGGCACGCGACTCAATCATCTTTGCCACCGCAATGATTCTATTTATTATCCGTGAATTTAATAGCAGTTTTTACAACATTTATGGTTGTTGCGCTCTTTCTTATGAACAAATCAGTGAAGGAAATAGCGTTGAAGCATGCTTACTGCTTTTCGACGTGAAATACTAATCAAACAGCTTATATTCGATCGACAATATGAGTGACTATGCACTAAGATAATCAAAATAGCTTGTACAACAAGAAAGGTAAAGCAATACCTGTAAAATGTGCTAAAACAGTGTATGAACTTGTGATGAAAACGTCTGTTCGAGAATTCTTCCTATTTCCCGTTCAACTAGCACACTTCTTAAACGTAATTGTCATTTTCTTTTCCTTAACTGAAAGTGATGCTCATCAATAAACCGTTTTAATCTATACACGGGAAAAAAAGTAGCAATGCCTGTAGATGTCGCACATCGTCAATACGGCGTAAAATCTTATAATTTATTTTATTGGACTGGTTTACTATTCGATCGAGTTTCCGACTGACTTTCTTTCGATCCATAGAAGTAACGAATGAGGAAAAGACTATGGATGATCTCACAGCACAATTAATGTGAATTAATTGATGGTGATGCAAGTTAAAATCGTAATAAGAATCTTGCATCATCGCTGGAGAACACCCGTATAAAGACTGACAAATAGAACTGCTTTTTTTTAGATCTTAACCAACAAGAAAAATTACGTTTGAAATTCACCGATATGGAAGAAATTCTTGCACGACTAAAAAAACAGGTTGGATTCGTTTTGAAGGTGATAAATATTCGATTGATCTTTTATTTTGACAGGAAGATGAAGTGAAAGAATTGGAAGCGCAACTGTTCGATCGACCAGAGTTTAAAGATAACAAAAAGCTCGAAGAATTACGAGCAGAAAATGAAAAACTGAACTACCGAGCCAACATTCTTACTCGAGTAAATCCACGTCGATTACCGATTTTCATAACGCGTGATATTTTATTTAGAGCATCGAAGAATTGAAAAAACAGCCAGGACAAGCAAAGGCATCTGGAGCAACTAAGGAAAAAGCAGCGAAATCAGCTGAAAAGAAACCTAGTGATACCAAGGAGAAAAAATCCGACGGACAGAAACCAGCAGACGCGAAAGCAAAAGCTCCTACATCAAACAACCCGATACCAGTGAAAGCCTATTTTACCGCAGGTGCTCAAGGTGATGATGAGCATTCTTATCGAACATTGGATACATTGATAAGTCTTTTTGAACAAGCTATTCGAAAAGCCTTTCCAGAAGATCAATCTTATCCAGTTCTTGTTGTGCCTGGTAAACAGACCGATTATCAATGCAACTCAGCTATGCCTATTGCTCAGGTTCGTTCAATATTAATTGCGACAAAATTCAGTTTGTAAGAATATTTCTTGTAGAAATTAGCTGCGGCTGGCAAAAAGATACCACCCACAGAAGTCGCTAAGATCATCACTAACAATCTTCCTCAACACGAAATCATCGAAAAAGTGAGTTTCGATATTGCTGTAATCAATAATATTTAGTTTGTTTTACATCGACTAGGTTGAATTCTCCGGCCCAGGTTTTATTAATATAACAATCTCTCCCGCATTTGTTTCCACACAAATTCGAAATATTCTAACGAAAGGTGTTTTACCACCTAATGTTTTGAATCTCGTTGGAAATATGAGCACCAACGGCAACAACAAAAGACCAAAAGTTGTTATCGATTTCTCCTCGCCAAACATCGCGAAGGAAATGCACGTTGGTCATTTACGGTAAGTTTACCACGCCTACTACCACTCTGTATTGACACGAACATTGTTTGTATGCAGATCAACGATTATTGGCGATAGTATGGCTCGTATGCTTGAATACACCGGTTTTGATGTCCTTCGATTGAATCATCTTGGTGATTGGGGTACACAATTTGGTATGTTAATTGCTCATTTACAAGAAATCTTTCCGGATTATAAAACAAAGTCACCACCTATCGGCGATCTCCTTGCGTTCTACAAAGTAAGAGATTTCTTTGAAATTGAAACTGATGCTGATCATCTATATTCAGGCGTCGAAAAAACGATTTGATTCGGAAGAAGACTTCAAAAAACGAGCCTATGATTGTGTGGTGAAGCTTCAAGCCTTCGATCCGGATATCATTCATGCTTGGAAATTAATTTGTGAAGTTTCCCGACAAGGTAAAATATGCAATGAGTAACGTTTCGCTTTCATTAGCAGAAATATTCCTTTAGATTTCGAGTATATTTACAAAGAACTCAATATCCGAATCGTTGATCGAGGTGAATCATTTTATCAGAGTCGAATGATAGAAGTTGTCAAAGAACTTGAATCAAAAAGTAAATTCACGATTGAATTCATGTACAATAACGAATCCATTTTCCTTCGCGAATAGATCTATTAAAATTAGAAGAAGGCCGAAAAGTCATGTTTTTACCCGACATTGAAGTACCAATGACAATTGTTAAATCTGATGGAAGCTATACCTACGATACAAGTGATATGGCAACAATTAAACAACGTCTTCAAGAAGAAAATGCTGATTGGATAATCTATGTCATCGATTTAGGACAAGTAAGAGTTGTTGTTGAAAGATTCGACTGAAGTTTATTGTTGTGAATAGGCTTTGCATATGCAATCAGTGTTTGCTGGAGCGAAACTGGCGGGATGGACAGAAGCAAAGAATACTCGAATTGATCATATGGGATTCGGTGTTGTACTTGGTGAAAATGGGTATGAATGAGATGGAAGAGGAAGTCATTAGTATTTTTATTTTCTTTTCTAGAAAGAAATTGAAAACACGAGAGGGCGAAGCGATTCGTTTACGAGATTTACTTAAAGAAGGTGTCGATAGATCAATGGAGAAATTAAAAGAAAAGGGTCGACATGAAGTGAGCATTCCTTCCTTTTGCTTTTTCAGCGATTGATTTTTTTCTTTCGTCTATTTCTTAGGTATTGACACCTGAAGAACTTGAAAAGGCACAAAAATCAGTTGCCTACGGTTGTATCAAATATGCAGATTTATCACACAATCGAAATTCCGATTATGTTTTCTCATTCGATCGAGTAAGAAATTATTCTTATTGCCGTTTCGTCTATATTCCATTCAAATTTAGATGCTCGACGACCGAGGAAACACAGCCGCTTACCTACTCTATGCCAACACTCGAATTCGGTACGTCGAACTCGCTTAATTCTATCAAAATCATCTATAATTTGCTCATTGTAGATCAATTGCACGAACTGCTGGTGTCGAACCTGCAGCGCTAAAAGCCATGGCGAAAGATCACGAGCTGAACTTTACAGTTGAAGAACGTGAATTGAAACTTGCCAAATGTATTATTAAATATCCCGATGTCTTCACTCGAGTCATCGATGAATTATTGATGCATGGTCTCTGCGAATATATGTATCAATTAGCCACAGCATTTACCGACTTCTATGATCGATGCTATTGTGTGGAAAAGGATAAAACAACGGGCGAAGTCCGAATTAACTATCGACGAATCCTTCTTTGCGAAGCAACGGCCAATGTATTGGGCAAATGTTTTGAAATTTTAGGCATTCAACCGTTAGATCGAATGTAATTCTCGTGATTGATTCCAGTTTTTTGCTTTATATTGAGAATTTCATCGATATTTTTTCTTTCTCAAAAGAAAATTAAAAAAAAGACAAGAAACATGTTATTCAAATGAATTTCCTTTCATTTCATATCGATCGATATGATGATTAGCGTTCGATTTTTGTTAGACGAAGAAGTCGTTAGTATTTATTGATGCAAGCTTAAAGATAAAGGACAACTAAGACATCCTATGAACTCTAATTACATGATAAAATTGAAAATGGAGAGGTATTGGCGCTCGTATGGGACAAAAGAAAGAATTGGTCCAATGAAAGTCATCATTTAGCGTTTTTGACGTTTGAGATCAGCGATTTCTTGATCAATTCGGCGTTTTTCAGCTTCGAGTTCAGCTAGACGTTGTTGATTCGAACCACCAGTAGGACTTTGTCTACTTGCTTGCTTCTGACCACCGCTTTGAGCGCTTTTACTACGATACTTTTCAGCTTGTTCAGCTTCCTATACACAAAATATTCCAACACAATCTTGCAACTGACAACGAAATTCTTACAAAACGACGAGCCCATCGTGATTCTTCTGCTTTTTCTCTTTTATTGAAGGCATCTTGACCACTATTGACGAGAAAGGAAACTATTAGAATTGTATTCTATGCTAATCATTGGTCACATACCTAACTGAACCGGCTTCTGGGTCAGTGCTTGATAGACTAAAATTATCACGAAAAATACGTTAGAAATAAACTCGCATTATTCTTCATACCGAGTAAAAGTCAATGTCGAACGAACTACTCGCTGAGCAAGTGCTTGACTCGATGAAGTTAGTGCACGATACATGATGTATTTTACAAATCTGAAATGTGACGATTCGATAGCTGATGCAATGAAAATTGTCGTTTCGAACTACCAAAAATAAAGCTAATTTCTTCCTACACAGACCACAGCGCTTGGTAGTTTATGAATGTTATTATTCCAAACAATCCACGTATTATTGGCTGAATTACAATAGAAAATATTCAATAGTGAATATAGGCGCATTGGAGCGACATCTAACGAACTGAAAACTTTTCCAATTTTGTCGCCTGTGCGGCCAATTGAGATCTCTGACATATCAGGAAATCGAGTGATGAATAGATATGTGCCAATATTTCATTGTTTACTGAAAATACAGATTTGATTTCTCTTCGATAGTAATAATTCATTATCAAGATCAGATCCTATAAAAAATATTTTATCATCATGGAACACTATCCTAATAATCAAATCCATCAGACTGTGCGAACTATTGATTTCAAACATGATTAAATTGTTGTATGAATCTACGCTCAAGATCATATTAATGGCCGACATATGTTACTAGTCATTTATCAGATTGAAGAGGTGTCAGTAATTGAATTCTTCAACCCACGTTTCTTTATCGAATGTATGAGTAGATTAATCTTAAATACTTGTGTACTTCACTTTCTAACACTATAATAGCGTGCGAGATTGATTTAATTCTGTAAGACGATCAATGTAGTATGACGTAGACACTATCTGATCTTAATTAATTGTAACTACGTCAATAGTCGTTGAGACAATATAGGATGAGCTGTCAAAAAAAAGTAATTTCCTTTAGGACAGGATTTCTGATAGGAATAAGAATCTGTTTTAATTACAATTTCAATTCTGTGCGGTTATATACTATGTTTATAATCAACCAGCAGATATACGCGTCATGCTTGAGTCGCTGAGTTCATTCTGATGACATAAATTCTACTTTGTACATTATGTCAACGAAAGGTGAAAATTACTGACGTTATCGCAAGGAAATTCTCGATCTGTTTTGGATAAAAGTACTTGCCGTTCGTGTGTGTGTGTACTATTTCAATTGTTGTTAGGGTTCATCGAAAGGTACGATGGAACTGTTCTGTCTATTTATAACTTTAATCATAACAGCATTACTTTCCGGAAACTTAATCTGTCTGATATAAAAAGAAACACTCTGTTCAACGTTTTATTTGTAGAAAGTATTTAATTTATCTTTTCATCATAATTACTAGTTAAGAGTATTAAAAACCATGATTGCTATGACATCATTAACATTTAAAATATATTGATCGACCTCAAAGTTTGCTTTTTCTTTCCTTTCTATTTATATGATTCAAGCTAAACTAGACACTGACAGATGTTCTATGATTTGAAATTCGAGCTGAATAAGTTCTGTTATTCATTAGAGAAACAATCCGTTTGATCATTATCGATCCTTCATTTGCTTGCTTTCAAGGCGAATCAAACAGGAGAAAAACGAAATTACTAACTAGAAATTTGTATTCATTCATTCGATCTCATTTGTTTTACATACGAACAATGAAATCTGGACCCGTTACAATCACTTCCACAAATGCGACGTCTACACCAGCAAGACGTACGTTATTTCGTATTGCATTAGTAGTTGCTCTCTCTGGTACGATTGCTGTTAGTACCATACTGATTCTCCATGGTGGAATCGCTTTCGGACGACTTCGATACTTTGTTGATATTGGTCAACATCCTCTGCATATAACAGGAGCATTACTACTTTTCTTTGGCTTGCTTTCACTTGTTACATTCATTATCATTACGGTGGGAATCGTAAAAGTGAACAAAACGTTAGCTGTTCTAGCCGCTGTTCTGATTGGTGTTTGTTCACTCGGTCTGATTGCATTCAGTATTTGGTCATTTTTAGCAATAACAAGTGGACAATTACCCGCATCGATCAATAACACGATTGTCAAAGAATTAGATGAAACTCGATTCAGTTATGGAGTTGGAAATACTCTTATTGTAGATAACACCAATAAAATGGCAAGACTAGAAAAACAATATCAATGTTGTGGACTAGCTGATCCAATTGATGATTATCGCAGTCGACAACAATCATCATTTGGATCATTGAATCCTTCGTCATCATCATCTTCATCTGGTGGTAGCGGAGGTGGTCGAAGCCGAACAACATCGACTCAACGAAATTCTGCCGCATCGAATCTTCCTGTCTTATTACCTATCAGTTGCTGTAATAAGAAATATCTCTCCGCTGATAATCTCTGCATTGACATGTTTGGAAATAACACTAGTCCGATCAATCGTTATTACACCAATGGTTGTTATCCAGTTGTTGCACGTTACAAGTTCGAACGTATTCAACGACAAGGTTTTACAACAATTGTTGCTGCTTGTCTAGCAGTCATAAGTTGCATCGCGCTCGCAGCCGTTGTTCGATTATTAGGTGAAGGATATCAAGTGATTCCACTACGTGTAACGACATAAAACATCGACATTAATAACTCAAACTGAAGTTCTTTTTCCCTTTTTTTTTCTCTTTCCTATTAGCATCTCGTGTGTTTGATTAATAAAACTCAACTTAGACTTTGTTTATTTGATCTGACGGACAAATCAGCTTTTGTTTATTTACGAGAATGCTTATTAAAGATAAAATCTCATGTAATATAAAAGCAATAATCTGTAAGCGAATCTCATTTGATTATACACAAAAAAAAAAGTCCTAATTAATTTTTCTAACTATCATAAATAATTCACTGAACTTTGTCATGCTATCGAATTGATCTTGGTTTTACGTGACTACAATTTCCTTCATTCTCCTATGTTTCATTTTCTAATCAATCTACATATTCGACCTAGTCTTCCGCAAAGAAATTGTAGAACTTCTATCGTCTCTCCTATTCCACATCGGATAGATTTTCAAACATTAATATTTATATTGCGCCGTTCGATGTGTCGATAGATTAGAAGGTAGGGACGTAAGTCTTTTGTTTAAGAAAGCAATATTGTGCTTTTAACTTTTTCTATAATAAGTCATTCGGGAAAACATAGACGCGAAATTCAATGGAGACAAATGATCAATTCAATCTTCATATAATAGGTTGCTAGTAGGACGTCGAATAATCCTAAATGTCAATAGAAGAAAGAACAGAAAAGAAGATTGGATTTTTCCTTTTTTTTATGTGTCTTCTAGATTAAATCGAGCTCGTCCGAAAAGATAGAACTTATCTTCATTGCAATTTCCCATGAGAAACAGAGATTTAAGCAATAAAAATAACAGTAAAAAACCCGTGTAAGAAAGGCAATGTACTAACAACATAACGGCTCTTCTGCTACGTAATCGAATGAGATTTTCTTAGTTAAACATCGAAATCCTGCAGACTATTACTCGATTAATGTTCAGCTCGTTGGAGACATCAGAAAAACAAGATAACACAACAACAACAACGACAGCGGCAATATGACTGACTTCATCGCTCATTTTCTTTTCGCATTTCTTTCTGCATGTCATCCAAGTTCTTTTTCTCTCCCTCTTTCAGATGAACATTTCTTTAGCGGTGCATGCATGTATATGTGCTTTCAAGGCTAGTACTTGTTTAGTCGAGAGCCTATGCGGAAACTGAGACAAAAACAGAGGAAAAAAAGAAAGAATAAGAAATAACGAAGAAGAAACAACTGGAGAAAAATGACTTTCTTTTTTTTTTAATAGGAAGATCCAACAAGGTTTTCTTCTTCTTTTTGGAATGCTGCATCGTCTTCTTCTCTTTGTTCTCTCAATGGAGAATATACTATAGATGAGAAAAACAAAAAATAAACTTGATCGTCGATTATTTCATGACAATCATTGAAATTATTTTTAGACGATGATGCCTTACGGGCATGAAAACACTTCTCATGGGGACAAAAAAACGATAAGTTCAACAGAAATATTTTCATCTTGGAATATTAATCACATGTCAAAAGAGGCTATTCGAAGTGTTCAGTTTGTTTTTTAGATAATATAGAATAGTATGTGTGATCAGCCGATACAAATTGCTGTTCTTGGTGATAAATCTGTCGGGAAAACAGCTATTATTCGTCAATGGTTATACAATGATTTTTCTAACGTGTACTCCGAAACCAATTTAGCTTCATATCATTTCACATCGTTGTTTAATGGCCATCGATTATTTCATATTCGTATTATTGATACTCCACGATTTGATGATACAAATAATACTGATCCTCAACAAGAATGGGTTCGCATGTACTGTTTTCGCCGTGCTCATTTATTTCTATTAGTTTTCGATATTAATCGTGAAGAGACATTTAATTATATAAAACATATCTACCGTGAAATAGCTCGTGTTCGTCTTGGTCACAATCATTACCATCACCATCATCATCACCACCATCATTCTCATTCCCATTCACATCATCAATCTCAAATCCTCGCAGATCTGACTGGTGGTGATGATGAAGAACAACAACAACAAATGACAACGATAGCAACAAAAACTTATGTGCCTGTGATTGTTGTAGCAAATAAAGTCGATTCAATTTCAACAGATCTACGTTTTTCCAATATAACATTAACGAATTCACGTGATATACAACAATATGTAAAGAAGAACTTCAAAGCTAATACAATTCAATGTTCAGCGAAATACCATTGGCATTTAGTGTTGTTGTTCAGAGAAGTTTGCCGAATGTTGGAAACTGTGGAAGACACCGTTGCCAAACAAGCAGCATTACAAGCACGACGACGACTTCATCAACATCATGGCAAACATTGTCGCGTCATGTGAAAGATTTTGTTCTTTTTCCATAGTGTCGAGCAACAGATTCTTGAAAGAACAGACAACTTGTCTTCTTCTCTTCTCTTGCTCTTTCAACAGACATTCACAATCCATAAAAGTACTTGTGCCTTTTTCTTTGTTGTCTATACATTTGTTTTGATTTAATCCAGAAAAATAAATCTACTTAGAACTATTCTGATAAAAGAACATTCAGCCGAAGACTTATTCGAACAAAAGGGAAATATTTTTCCTAAAAGGTTAATATGACCAGCCTTAAAGAAGTTCAATAACCAGAAGCGATTTATTTGACGTGAATAATTATTTCCACCAACGCACACCTTACAATGGAAGAAAATGAAGAAAAACCTGTTTTTGTTTATATCTCCACCGGATATATTATCAATCTTTTTTTATATTTTGTAAAATCGACTAATGATGACGTCGATGTCTCAAGCTTAAGTCTAAATAATTTAAATCTTTATTTAAGACAGAAAAAAAAAACACATTGAGCACACCTCTCAATATCTAAGTGTTCTTTCGCACGCTGAACATCGATATGCGACTTGCGCCGAATTACTCATTCCAGGAATTTTACTGTCAAACTAAAAGAACGTTACATTATTGATAATAATTATAAATCAAATAGGACACCTAATTGCATAGATACTTGCTTTTCACGCAGGTTCGTGTAGGAGTATTTTAGTATAAGAAAAATCATATTTTAATTTGTTCTCGTTTCCTCGTCTGCTATTTTCTCCTTTACGTCATACGGTCGAAAATACATTTAACTAGAGCGGAAATGCGTATGCGTAAGGTATTTTATTTTTCACTACCTACTTGTGTCTTCCTTCTATTTAAAAATACTTAATAAAAGCATAAAGACAGATATATATAGAGAGAGAGAAATGTAATAGTCGTCAAAGTCATGTTTTCATAGGTTTATATAGTGTATCAAAGTTATTGTCGGGATTCGTCAGTAAATTATAAAATTAACGGACATGTTCATTTAGAAATGATGGTTTTTTTTACTACGAAGGCATTTGTTAATAATGAGAATAGTCTGCTTGTTTAATCCTTCCGGTTTCAGGACAGACAATTTGGAAGTATTCAGAATAGCAATATCACTGACTTACTGCATATATTCCTGGTGTTCATAGAATTTTGATGAATATGAGGCAAATATTATCTAATTTCAGATTGTCATTTCTTTGATCTTTTCAACATAACTGAACAGTAGCAATGTTCACATTTATTCTTCTTTTGAGTATATTTATCTGTTTATTGCTGATCTATCTCCTTCATATCTATCGATGTTATTCATTTTTTGAACAACTCGGTATTAAGGGCCCACGGCCAACGTTCCTACTCGGTAATCTGGCAGATTTCATTCGAACAAAACGCATCTCCATGTCCATTCACAATTGGACTCAGCAATTCGGTCATATTTACGGTTACTTCGAAGGTCATACTCCAGTACTTGTTGTATCTGATCCCGATATTCTACATGAAATATTCATCAATCATTTTTCGAAATTTCATTCACGTCGTCAATTTCCATTGGAAGATCGTCGAACAACAAACGGCGTCCATCTATTCAGTGCAACCGGTGATCAATGGCGACGTCAACACGCAATTATCGCTCCGACATTTTCACAGCTCAAAATGAAACGTATGTTGCCACTTATCGAAAGTTGTGTGCAAAAATTACTGATGAAATTGGAAGAAAACATGAAAACATCCAACGAAGGTTTTGATATTTACAAGTCATACAAATCGTTAACAATGGATCTCATATGGCGATGTTGCTTCGGCATTGAAACTGATATGCAAAATGATCCAAATGATCCTTATTTGAAACGTTCTCAAGATGTCTTCGCAAGAGAAAATTCGACTTATTTAGCAACTATATTGGCCATATTCATTCCAGAATTACAGCCAATCTGGTTGCGCATACATTGTTGGATGAATAATATCAAGACGCAATTGCGCTATTTATTACCCATGGGTGAGAAATTAATTGCTGATGATCCGAATGAATGGTTAAAGAATAATGTTAGTTATTTTATTGAACAAGCATTAACATCTCAGAAGAACAAGAGTGATTATAATGAGAACATCATCAAATCGCCTGATTTGCTACAATTGATGCTTGACGCGACACTCGACACAGACTTCGGTGAACTACATCAGGTACTACATTGATAAGAAATATTTCAAGACGAAACGTTTTGTGTTTTTAGCATAACGCATCTGAACGAGTTTTATCGATCAATGAAGTCAAACAAAACATCTATCTATTCATGATCGCTGGATATGAAACAGCCAGCACAGCTCTTGCTTACATCACACATGCATTAGCAACACATCCTGAAGAGCAGAAGAAACTACAAGACCACATTGATTATTATCTTGGAGATCGCCATGATCTGGATTATGAGGTTATGCATAAAATGAACTATCTCGAATGGTTCATTCAAGAAACATTACGGATGTATCCCATAACATCTATCATTATCAATCGAGAATGTTCCGAACCCATTGATTTACCAGGATTAGGTCGAATACATCCCGGAACGAAAGTTACATTGGATATGTACAGTTTACATTTTGATAATGATCTGTGGGGACCCGTAGACACAAAAACATTCTATCCAGAAAGATTTGCCACGAAACGACATGCCGCAGCATGGATTCCGTTCGGTGTTGGTCCACGTAAATGCATTGGAATGCGCTTTGCACTCACCGAAATGAAAATAACAATCATTAGACTTCTACAGAAGTACACAGTACTGCCAACAACAGTCAAGAGTGATGATGATTTAGAACTGGTTGAACTAGTGACAATATCTCCTAAAGAAGTTCCAATACAATTGCAACAAAGAAGAAATGGCTAAAGTCAGTCTACCACATTTGTCAATAGAATTGACATTAATAATCCAAAGACTTTTACTAGATGTTGTTATTCTATTTTTATCGTTGTCATGTAAAACGGTCGTTTGAGAAACAATAAAATTTCATGTAATCATCATAAATGTACCCAAAAAAAGGACAATTTATTTTCTATTTCTGTCGGAAAGAAGTACTGTCACCTTCCACCGCTCGTCTAACTGCAGTGTATGTCTATTCTAATTGCATGCAGCAAAATCATGTTCGTCTGAGACGCTTTCAAAGTCATTAAAATGACATTTCTATTCAAAAGTAGATCGTCTGTATCAAGTGCAGCTTTTGATATCGATGATGCTCATTTGTCGACGATTGCACTTGAAATAACTTTCAGATCTTTGATGGATTACATCAATCATTTTTCTCTCACACCAATCGTAATTCCGCGATATTCATTTTCGAATGATATGAAGCAAATTCGTTTGCTGATCTTTAAAAGTGATAAATCATTGGCTGACACTTTTATCACCTTCTATGATTGATCTATTGGTTCACATCGGAATTGACACATTTCGATACATAATTGCACCTCTTTTGAATAATTCAATATGAGATTTAATCACCTCTATCAATACGAGTTTTTGTTCATTTATCAAAATCATTCGAACCTCAATTCTCGACAATCTTTCATCTTGTCTGTTTCGTGTTTATTCATTCATCAACTAAAACAGAAGATTTAAAGATAAAGATAATTTGTTTTCTTGTGTATAATCCTTCTCGGTGCACATATACACATGTATATAGAATACGAACAGGCTAACATAGATATATAGACAGAAAAAGGAGAAAGAGAAAGAATGTTAAGATAGGCACCGATCGACCGGCTATGCACATGCACGTTCGGCTTTCTCGTTCTCTATCTCGACATGATTGTCTTCTTTCAATTCTGATTATTTATACGCAGTCTGTCTGACATCCTTCATTCGTGTGTATTGTTAGTTGTTGAATAGAAAAAAATAAGAAAAAGCTAATCGATATTTTCTCGTACATCGTTCATTTTCTTAATGAATCCTCTTTTTAGATCAACAATTCTTGTCAACATCAATGTCGGGCTCGACTTCGACGAGACCAAACGATTTTTTTGATTTACCGGAAGAAGCAAGAGCCGATGATCAATACGTCGTCGAAAAAATTATGGCTAAAAGACGGACTCGTAAAGGCAAATGTGAATATCTGCTGAAATGGGCCGGATGTATGTGCTGCTAAATATGTTAATGCAATTCATATGTAATACTTTTTAGTCAGCGATGCTGATAATACTTGGGAAGCTCAGCATGATATTCATCCTGATTTAATTGCTGAATTTGAACGTCAGCAAATGGATGCTGATACGTCGAATCCAATTTATTCGATTTTAGGTGAAGATCCACCTAAGAAACAGCGTGCATCGCTATCTGCGACTTCATCATCTTCGAATCATGCAGATTCACCACCAGCGAAAAAGAAGAAAAAAACGTCAAACTCAGTTATTTTAACAACAAAAAGTGCAAAACCATTACCACCATCGCCATCTCCACCATTGTCCACGACGACAACGACAACTACGACACCGGTAGCAGCAACAAACGAAGTGCGAAAGAAAGTATTCGGTGTAGAAAAAGGTTGGCGTGTACGTGCAGTCATCGGAGCAGCTAAACAAAAAGATTCATCAGTACTCTATGCTGTTGATTATGTTCAAGGCTCACCGATCTTACGTGAATACGTTCCATCAGAAATAGCTCATATCTATATTCCACGTGAACTAATCGAATTTTTTCAGAAAAAAATCGTATGGAATGCACCAAAATGAGCTCAATGCATAAAAATTTAACCTTGAGTGAGTCTGATGATGTGATTTGTATATCTCTCTATATTGTTTTTTCTCTCTTCGTGTCAGATATGTTATGTTTCTTTATATATATGTATACTTTTGATCTCTAGTGTTTTTTTTGTCACTTTTTCTATGAAAAATCCACATGTCATAAAATACATAGATATTCAGCTCTAGATAGGCATGATGAACAGCGAACTCTATGATGTATTTGTCTATTGGAGAAAATCTTCTGGCCAATATAAGGAAACGACGAAGTCTAAACGCACGTGCTTTGCAGTGCATATTTATTTAGTACGCACACAATGGGAGCTGGTTACTATATATATGCGTGTATTTTCTTTTATCTTTACTGCGCATATACGTTTTAGTTTTTCTATGAGGCTAGCAAGGAATGATATTACTGTTTTAGATTTATTTCAGGAAAATAGAATTCACGCGATGAGTAGCACTGAAGGTATTCCAATCCGTCGTTTGGTTGTACATGATCCAAAAGATATGCCCCTTCACTACGGTGAAACACCAGGTGGAAGCATTTTTTCAACAACACCAGGAGGTAGAAAGAACATACGTGATTTTGTTTTGATGTTATTTCAAAGAAATAATTTAGGCAGTCGTATTTATTACGATCGAGCTTTCTTACTTTCTCGTCGCGACTCACCTATGACACGTTCGCCGCCGAATTTGCCATTTATTCCGGAAGGTTCGTATCATAAGAAGAAAACGTGAAGTGTGTAGAAACAATGTATGTTTTGTAATAGTTACCTTAATTCCGGGACCGGACAAGAATGGTGATATTGTGGAAAATGGTCATAGCACAGATAAAAAAGACCGAGCAGGATCGTCAGTTGATAAGTCGAACTTATCGAAATCTGATCGTTCAAAATCGGCTAAAAAAGGTTAGATCAATTGATCGTAAAATTTCTTTTCGAATGAATTTCTTCTGTATAGACGGTGATGATCAATTTTCGATGGATATGTGATCTTCGTTTACTTGTTTCTCTGTTGTATGATAAAACGAAATCATATTCGAGTTTATCGATATCACCAAAATGAAACTGATACACCAGCTCGTTGATTTTTTAGTTTGTTTTTCTTTTTCTTCTTCTTGTATTATCCAAATCCTTTCGTATAGAACAGTTCTATTCTTCTACTCCGGTGTGCTTATTTTTTCTTTGTTCTACATATACACATACATATATGAAGCAGTTTCAATGGATGTTATTAGATTAGATGTCCGTTTCTTTTTCTTTCTTCGTCTATTTTATTGTTGGTGTATATGTCTTTCTGTTAGCAAGCGTGTCTTGGAATGTTTCATATATACGTAATGGTTTTGTCTTGCTCAAAATGAGAAAGATCGAAAAAGAAGAATAGAAAATTCTTCTTTTCGGTTGTTATTTTTTGGTGTTTTGCCTAGTCTTGTGAAAACAACAACAAACTAACCATTTTGTTTTGTTCTTTCGTTGTTCTTCTCTCTGTGTAACACAAAAAAAAACTTAATAAAACTAAAACTGACGCAGCGTGGAAAGTTATTTGATTAACATTCTGAAAAAAAAGCAACAATCTCGGTTTTCTTTTCTCAACATACGACGCAATAGAACGTCATATTTTATCAGTTGATAATCGTGTCAAATAAACATAGGTGAAACGTTATTCTCTTCTCAAATCTCGCGTACGCATAAATATGAGAGGTTCTGTCATGTGATTTTTGTATGGATGACATATGTCATATGTCGCTTATCCAGGGTTTTTTGCCTCTTAAATATGTAAAAGTCAGATTTATCGTTTGTTAACGCACATTCCTTTGTACATATTTTGTTTTTGTTCCAAATGCAAAGATTTTCGTTACTTTTTCGCCTGGTTCTTGAATGACGTCATAAATTCGAAAAATAAAGTATCTTCATCTTACAACATACACGTGCAAATATTTTTCGTAACCATAGTGTCGATGCAATGGAAATTCTTTTTTCACAAGCAAATGTAAACATAGCGATGTTCTTGCACAACAATAACCCAGATTTTTCATTCTATTATTGTACACTATATCTACGATATGAATTCAGTCTCTGGACTATTGATGCATGTTATCGGATATTTAACTATTTGAGTTCTGTAAATTGTGAAGAAAAAAGGAACATTTTTATTGTATCCATTTTTGTCGAATGTTATTCAAGGACATGCGTGGCCGTTGATAGGATGAACAAGTACGTTCACAATCATAACGAGATTCGAATCGATTTTGATTACCACCGCATCCACCCCAGATAAAAACTTGGCAACTACCTAATTGTGAATTGAAATAGTACTGTTCAATGAAGGCTCGACATGGTCCAACATCGGGAATCTGTTGACAATTGTACATGATATTTGTGACCGATGATCCGGTTGTATAAATTCCGCCAGTTCCTAAATGAAAAATATCATTCACGCAGATATATACCGAAAACTGCCATACCAGGATTCGTCGTGATTCCGACTTTTTTCATCATTACATTAACAGGATTGACCGGCGCCGGAATCAATTGTACTGGCGTGTACTGATCATTGATGTAAAGTAACTGACCATCTTTTTCAATACGTGCTTGAATCGCGTACTGTCCAATGGTATTTCCGTTCTGTTGAACTTGCATCATTGAATATGGAATTTCGAAAGCGATTGGAAAACGATAAGATCCGTAGAGAGTCATGGTATTAAGTGGACGTGATGCAACATCTTGAAGAGAAACATCGACTAGTGAAACACTGATTTGCGAACCGTATGGTAATGGAGATCTATCTTCATTGAGAAGATTTCCACGAACAGTTGCTTGTGCTAACAAAGATCAAATGAATCGATCTGTAGGATAATATGATACATTCGCTTCAAGATTTACTTTGTCGAGCTCCTTGATTCCATGTTGGATAGGTTGACCATGAGTTAAAATTATTATACGGATATCGTCCTTGTTGATAATAGTATTGCGCGTGACCAAAGGAGAAGAATAGAAATATCAAAATCGAAAGAAACATTTTTTCTATGTCGAACGTAATTGTGAATCAATCAAAAACACTAATGTTATTGTATAAGAATGAATATTATCCTTTTTATTCTCTTTATCCTATCAGAACTTTATCGAAATGTCGTGATCTATTCTCTTGTACTTTAGTTTGCTCCTATAAAACAGAATAGATTAGCTTTCAAAATAAATCAATAACATATTTCACTAGTTGTTTCGTATGTAAAAAGATAACTGATTGGGTATACAACAAAAAGGTCATTAGATCAGAAAGAACGAAACGTGAAAGCATGACTTTTGCTTGAAAGCAAACCATACCGATGCTATTTAAACGCTTTATGTAGGCGATTCGCTAATAATCCTTTCGAATAGATAAACCTCATTTGAGTACTTCTTCAATTTATTGATGATATAAATACAAAGAAAAAACAAAACAAAACGAAAAGATCCACTGCGTGAGTAGTTCCAATTGTACGTACATCATACTTGCTTTCCAATATCAGACTAGAGTATGACATTCATTATGTACACAACTAACTATAGTCGACATTGTATATTTGAAATGTCAAAAATATTCTGAATGTCTATGGACAGTTAGTCGCAGCCAACGTATGTGAATTTAGAATGAAGATAAGCAGAACATTTTCGAATAATTCAAACAGCGAGAACAGCTTTGACAAAGAATCCAAAAGCGACAATGGAACCAAGAACGAGACCGATAATGAACGTAATTAATGACCATCGTATTGATTTTTTGTAGAATGTCGTTGCTTCAGCATAAAACCCTTGATTATGTGCTTGAACTGCACGAGTTGCATAATAAATAGCAAGGATACCTGGCGAATAGATCTCTTACAAATAATTCAAACTTCAATGAAACTATTTACCTAAAAGTGGACAACACAATGTCGAGATCAAAGCACACGCTAAACTTCGTTTTGGATGTGTTTCATCTTCTACTTCAGCCAGTCGATATCGATCTAAGTGTTCGAAAAAGAAACACACATCATATGGAAAAGTTTCATTTCAATTGACCTGCAATATCATTTTCAGCTTGTCTAGTAGCGGTGAATTTCGCTGATGACGTACATCTATGACCAGTTTGTGTTGATGTAAATGCTCGCGATCCAAACATTCTATCTGATAAATATACGAAGAAAATAGATGATTATTATCTAACTGAAAGAAACCAAGACATCAAACATGAGGAGTGCATTTAGATGTAATGTCAAAAGATTCGACAGAGGAAAAAACCTCAAGGGAGAGAGAAAGTGAAGTCGTGCGCGTGGATAATCTTTGTCTCCGGTCGGTCCAAGAAACGATGCTGGTAATGACAAAAAATGAAGGATGAAGAAGAAAAAAATGTATTACTCATTATCCGTCAACTCTTAGATAAACTCATTCTGATGAAAAATTCTCTCGAGATCAGCGTAAAGAACAATATTTTTATTGATTAACTCATGTTTGTATATATTATTCATCATAAACGCATCTGATGACTAGTTATTGTTTTTTGGCGACATCATATGTATGATATACGTTAATAATATCTGACAATCAAACGGGAGATTAGCCGAAGAAATGCAAACAACAAAAGAAAGAAGTGGCATCAGCTAACTTCCGTCGATATGGGATTTCAATATGAAGAAAAAGACAACGGAAATGGCACAAGTAGACTCGTTCTTACATTCACTTCTGTTCATGAGCTTATTGACCTGATCAACTTAGATGAAAGTAATATGTGACATAGAAATCGTTTCGTCAATAAGAAAATACATTTCTTTGCAGTCGACTTGCTTTTTATGGCGTCGATCTCTAACAGCTTGACAAGCCTAATCAACGACAGTATCAGGTCTTCGATTGTAAACGTTCTTTTCCCTATCTCTTACTGTGACGACACACATCGCTCAAGGATATATTACACATGTTGTCGATGTATTCGGCTGTTTGCATTAGAATCTTCATATTTTCTACGATCTAAACACATCAATAATTGATGATTAACCAAAAGCAAAATGATGAGTACTCGGATGTGTGTACATCTATTTATTAGGATTAACAAGTAGATTGTTCTGGCGTTTCAATCGAGGAAAAGAGCGTCAAAAATAAGAAAATTACTAATCAAAGGCGACAATCTCGTTAGACGCATGCGATAGATAAATAGATAACTATAAAATGATAGTCAGAAGTCAAGAAATATGTAATGAAAGATCTGTGTTGATATACTTGATAGATGACATGCTGAGCTTTGAGTAGAAAGTCACTAATAAGCAGAGTTCTTTTAATTCTAAGCGGTGCGACAAACATTGACTGACTGCACAAAGGAGGAAAACCAAAGGAAATGAAAACAAATCTTTTTAACACATTCTGCTTTGTGATATTTGTCATTAATTTCCTGTATGTCATCGAAATTCATCAGCTAATGAATTCTAACTTTTCTTCTTTCCATTTACTATTTTTTTTCTCTCTTGTTGATTTAATAATTACTATTCTGGGGCTTTCTGTATACATTCACATCATTTGTTTTTTTTTATTCGAATAACTACAGAAAAAAAACAAGAAGAATAACAACAACAACAACACAGCTTTTTCTCTCTTCAAAAGTCATACACACACATACAAAAGAAAATTCTCATCAAATAAATGTTCATATTGATTTGTCTAATCATCCTGCGATATCTATTCTTGAGACAATCGTTCGTAAAACTTCAATGAACGATCGATGCTTGAACTAGCGATGTATTTCGCATTAGAACCAAATCGAATACCAGTTGCTACTGCTGTATGATCATTGAAGACTTTGAGTAAATCCCATTGTTTGGCCTGATATACTCTGCAAATACCACATGAGTAAAAGAAAACAGTCTATTTTTAGATGCTCTTACCGAACATCAGTGCCGGCGACGCCGAGATACATTCCACTTTGATCAAAGACAAGATCGCGAATCTGAAAGAGAAGAAAACTTATAAATTAACTGTAAGAAAAAACATAGAACTTCACTTCATAGCGATCTTCAAGTGTGATGGTTTTGAAGTTTCTTAATTTACGTAAATCCCATAATTTGATCGATGCATCTTCAGCTGCCGTTGCCAAATAATAACCTTAACAGACCAAATTAAATTCAACAATTATTAGTAGAGAAAATGCGTTTGGAGCATACCGTTTTCTGAAAAGGCAATTGTATTTATACTGCCAGCATGGCCTGGAAAATCAGCAACATTATTGCATTCTTTCAAGTCCCAAATTTTAATCACACTATCCTGTGTTCCCACACCAAAGATAATACCATCAGGATGAAATTGTGCACAGGTTAATCCTATACAAACTTTCATATTAAATCAATCAATGAAGTTTTCTTTATACCTCGTTGTGATGTTGAATCTTGAACTTTTGTAATCAATTTTCCCGTGCGTAAATCTGACAGTGCCCAGTAATTATCAGTTGCACTCGAGAGAACATAATCACCAGTCGGATGAAGTGAAAGACCAGTTATAGCACTATCGTGAGCTTTAAGAACTTTCAAGCATTGAGCTGATGGAATATGCCAAACACGAATACTTGAATCTGCGCTCGCTGTGACAGCAATATCCTGCAACAAGAAGTAAAGAAGTGAAATAAGTTTTATAAGCTATGTAGGTTAACGTGTGTTTTTATACTTCTTCGAAATGATGAATAACATGTGTAACTTTTTTCTGGTGACCTTTCAATGTTGCTACCACTTGTTCGCTATCTCGATTGAATACTACAGCTTGACGATCATTTCCACCAGTAATTACGATACTGGAGTTTTTCGATGAAATATCCAGTGCTAGGATACCGGGATTACTGGCACTGTGTAAAGCCTATGTCGAGAAGAAATGGAATGGAAAAAAGATATATGATGTGAACCCATACTGTGTGTGTGGCAGAACAACGAAAGCTTTTCATTTCGTCGACCGTAGTTAAACCTTCAGGTACATGTTTGCCACGTTGTTTACGCAATTGTGTCAAAACTGATGCTTTGTCTTGTAACTAAAATGAAACGAAGAAGATATTTTTCTTCAAAAAGCAATGACTTATTGTGTTTACTTTCTGAATTATTTCCTCAGTCATGCCTTCGGAAGCATTTGCTCCTGCTTGTGAAGCATCACCGCCTCCATGATGAATTGTCGGTATTGATTGGTCATTCGTATATTGCTAAACAACATTCACATTGGCTTTATCGATGGAAATTTCATTATTCTTACCATCGCAGTCGGTTGTGAAATGCCTGCTTGTGGTTTCAACGTAGCTAAAGCTTCACGTGCTGCTGTAACTTCTTTGTTGAGACGTGCGATGACACGGCATGCAGCATCATGTTGATACATAACATGTGAAAGTTCTATTGATAAAAGAGATGTAATAATGCGCATAATTTAATGTAGAAAACAAACCTTGTCGAGCTGTTTGTAATTGTTGGCGAAGTGTGAAACTATGTAACATACAAGCATCCCATTCATCTTGCAGCATTTTAAGAATAGCTGGAATACTAGTTGCTGATGGTGGCTTAGGTTTGCCAAGTGGTGTAACTATAATTTACGACATAAAAAGTCAAGATTCAATCTATACGCGTTATACCTTTCACTTCAATGAGTTGTTCTTCTGTCAATGGTTGACCGGTGATTGGATCATTGGGTGATTCTCGTAGATACTTAATAATCAAGCGTTTTTCATAAATACAACCAGAAACAGGTGAAAGAACTGGTTGTTCAGGTACTTCGTTCGAAACTAAAACAATATTGTACAGAGTTGACCTTGTCTCCGATAAGAATCGAATATTCACTTACGAGAACAGATGAGTGACATGATTAATTTTAAAAAAGAAGAATACAGAGAATCTAAAAATGAAGAAATATCATGTCTTTTTCTTGGTCACTATCAAAGAAAAAAAATATAATAATAAACTTCGATACTAAAGATAAATAGATGAAATCAGTTGAAAACAGTCGATGAATAATATAAAATTTGCAGAAAAACACAACAAAGCAAAAGAAACATGAGAATTCTTGTTTTGTTTAGTTTATCACAACGGAAGAGATTCGCTTGAAAGTCTTAAGCGACACTATTGTCGGTGGTTGTTGGCGATTGTCCACTATTGCGTAACATCGGACTACCATTACTATCTTGTACTGGAACTTTCAATCCCCGATTTTTATCGAGGGGTGAGCTCATTTGTAGTTTGGCGGTAAGAAGTGGTTTATCATAAAGTGTTTGTTCGCCTTGTTCATCTGATACATCGCAATCCGATTCGGAAATGATCATATTGGATGATTTAGTTTTATCTAAAAACGAAATTATCTTGCAGAGAGAAAGTGACATTTTCACCTGAACATACTCTTTTTCGTCAAACGAAATTTACTCTTGAGCTTCTCTTTCGGACTTCGTGGACTTTCAGTGTCATTCGTGTCTTCGTCATCGTCGTGTAACAATTGATATCGAATACGTTTTCGACGTTCCAATAAATTTCGACGACGACGCCAACGCAAACAGCAGCATAAGCATAACCAACAAAAGAGAAGCACAAAAATAACAGTAACAATTGATATTAAAACCACATAATGCACGATAAAATCTATCAAATAAAAATTTCATTTGCACTTCGAAAAAGTGTCTGATATTGATTCTTACCACAATTTGGTTCTTTCTGAACGAGAGATTTAAACCAGTTTTCCATACGATATCGACTGCACACACAATGCTTCGTCTTATGATCACATTTACCATGGTTTGAGCAATTTGATAAACATAAATAAGTATCGATAGATATGATATTCATATTTGATGCCGAGCGTAACGATTTGATTTTGTCTTGTAAATGATTGGCAACTAATTTTGGTGAAACAATCGCGTCGGTCTTCAAGTCAATTGCTTTTATTAACAAAGTGTTCTCTTTCGGCATTCCAACCATGACTATATCGATGTTTGGTAGAATATCAATGAGAAAAACGCGAATCTGCGCAAGAAGATTGTCAAGTGTTTGTTGATGGAGATATGGCTTAGATAAAAAGATGATTTCAATTAGTTGTTCAGCATTTGGTATACCACCAACATGAACAGTGATATTGGCTTCACTCATTTGCTGTCGATCGTCATAAACTTGAAGAATGAAAACATAGGAACCTTCGATTAAGTTCGTTATGTATGCAATCGGCGATAGGTTGGAATTGTTGAGAAAGTTTCCGATGGCTGGACTCGATGGACTCTTTTTCCATTGCCATCGGTCGATACCATAATCAGCAGTTGTGGCAGATCCATTCAAAATGATGAGATTATTCAGAATATTGACGTGGTTTGTTTCAAGACTAATGGACACTTTCGGTGGTTTACCATTTTGGGTGTAAACAACGACAAGAACATCTTTTTTCGATGTATATTCTTCGTCATTGGTTGTTAATGTCAACTGAAATTTGTATTGACCAATACGAAGATTCGAGACTCTTGTTTTTAGAGAATGAGGAGATAATATATCAATTTCATTCAGTCGTTGTTTATTATCATTTGAAAGTAATTTCCACGAGATTTGTGTTTGTTGTTCGATGATACTTGGTGTACCATCAAGCACAACATCATTTGATGGCCAAAAGACAATCTCACGACGGTTAGCAACACGAGCTTCAATTGGTTCTGATAGATTTGAAAAGAATGATTCAAGGGATTAGTAATGTTTTCTTAGAAATTACCTCCGATGGTGTTTAATTGAACAGTTTTTGTTTGTTCATTGCCCAGATTGTCGACAACATGTAAACGGAACGAATAGTTACCAGGGCGAAGATTCGACACTGACAAAGTGGATGTGTCTGTACCCTTAAAGCAAATCGTGTAGTATCTATTCGTTTTTTTTCGATAGATATTACTTCAAGTATAGGTATAATCGGACCATCCTTGGAATATGTCCATTGATAAGTCACTTGCCGACTTGATGGTTCAACATGCGCATCAAGTTTAACTACTTGTTGGGGTAACCGAACAGATACTGGTGATGCTATTTGAATACTGAGAGGTGGCGCAGTTGTTGTAGCTGAAATGAGAAATAAGATCATATTAGACTTGAAATATTCACAATCGAGTGCATAGCATTGACTGATGTGAAGATGAAACTCACTGGAAACAACTTGAACTTTCATTACATCAGCTGCTAATACAATTCCTTCTCTGTTCTTCAATTGTAATTCAAATTCATAAATTCCTTCTCGTAATTGTTTGACAACAATATGCGATTGTGAATTTTCCTGATTAGTTAAATCGATTTTAGCACCATTGGTAGAAGATTTCAATATCCAAAACAAACTTAAGTTACGATTTGCTAATATTGACATCTCTATTTCCGTTTTATTTGATTTATAAAGAACCTTTCCAGATAAATCAACTTGATTTGTGGGTAAACTAATGGTTTGATCATCACCAGCTTGTACTTCGAGATCAAACGACGATGAAATCGAAGTTGTCGGCGGTGATGTCGTGAAGGTGGTCATTCGCTCATCACCTAAACATTTTCCATTGCCACTTGTACGTTGAAAGCCAAGTTTACATTGACAATAACCATGTTTAGCACGATCATTTGGTGGTAAACATTCCTCGTTTTTCTTACATCGTCCTCTATTAACAGTTTGATCGAGATCTTCGTTATCATCAGTTTCTTGATAATCTTTTTCATAGATTGCACAAGGTTTTGTATTAGGTAAATATTGACGGCAAACACCTAAATAACTAAAAAAGTTAATCTGTATTTACTCTTCAATCTTTTACCATTGATACGACGAAAACCGTTTTTATGATCGCATGAACATATATTACGTTGTATCTGAGCACTGACAGAAATTTGTTCGCATTGTTCATTAATCTTGCACAGTTTGGTTTCGTTGCATTCATCACGGCCGGGATCTTCATAGTCAAGAGCAGCTGCTGTTGATTCTTATTTTTCGGCAAGGAAAACGAAGAATATACATATCATTTCATCGGTGTTTACACTTACGAACTGAACGAACTCGGAGATACATTGTCTCCTCGTTGAGATGTGTTTCTACCGGAGCGCATATCTCGTCGGAAATACATTCTATGTGAACACATACTGATGCGATCCAATAGACGACATTACATCGATTAAATTGACAACATTGATTCACACATTCTTCCCAACTGTTTACTTTAATCCTGAAGAAGAGAAGTTTACCGATTCGTTTGAATTCGTATAAAAAGATTTACTTTGAGAATCTTCCAGCGTCACTACCACCTTCCGGTTTGACATTGGTGAAAATAAAACTCTTTAATTCGTTCGAATTCTTCTCTTTGTCAGACCATAACGAACAAACATCGACTAAAAGATCGAAAAAATAGTCGAATTCTACATGTTGCTCTCAAAAATCACATACGATTATTTGATTTCGACTGGCAACAGTTTAGAATAGATAAACATATTAGCACCAATGATATAAGTCTATGTATGGTCATCTAAAAACAGAACACGGGTCGTATTACCAAATGGTTAAATCTGAAACTATGTTATCGAGAACGCGTCGGTGTGCAATTAATCAAGCGAATCATGGAAAAATATTTGTGCATATATGATTGATAAATAATGCGTCGTGCCGTGAAAAAATCAGTCATATTAGACAGACAGACAGAACGAACGAAAAAATTTCGTGGACAATGGATGATTACCGAATAGAATGGAGAATATTTGGAATATTAATTCGACAAAAACACTCTTCATTATCGCTGATAACAAATTAAAGTTCAACAAAAAACTCGAGATAAAAACTATTAAAAATCAACGTAATCTTTGACACATAACAGATGTCACCAGTTTACGTACGATGACTAGTTCCTTTTATGTTTAATGCTATTAATACCTCCTCAATTACTCTCTTTAATCAAATATATTCTAGTATGCACCACAGGCCCAGTACTCTGTTGAATCTATGGCGACTATCACTCAATAATTAGATTTTCATCTGAACTCTGAAGACATGCTCTAGTTCATTGCATCAACACATTTTGTAGATCTCATGTTCATCTTCGCAGCGGAAAAGAGCAAATTCTTTATTGCTAAAAAGAAAGTTCATTCCATATAGAAAATGATTTGTCATTCGTCACGACATGGGTCTAATTTCTGTCTTTCTTTTAAACTTATGCCATAGTTTCTTCCACGTTGTTAAAAATCGAATGTCTATAATACCAATCATGGCTGGATCCAGTGCAATTTCGATAACGCTCAACAAAGCAGTAAAGACTGCTGGATCGCTATTGGTATTCAAGAATTGAAACGCTAGAATATCCGGACTCCAGAGAATGAGCCAAACAGAATAAAAAGCAATGGTTTGAAGTAAAAGAATACGTTGGCGTTTCCTACGAAGAAGGATTATTTGTACACTCTGTACACCTCGTACTGAACTAACACGATGAATGCCGATACCGAGAATCAAAATAGTCGAAACAATAGGTACAAGATAGATGACACATAGATTGTATATTTGTACTAGTAAGTACGAATACGTGATGTCACAAGATCCGCCGCGTCTACGCCAAATCGTTGCCCATTTCACTAAATATTGGACGATAATATTAACTGCAGGTAGAACATAGATGGCAACATGGACGAGCAGAATCAAACATGGTTTTTCTCGATAAATGTTTCGATTGTAGACAATTTGCAAATATCGGCAGACATTAAATGCTAACAGCAAGTAACTTTGAACTCCATTTAGATAGAACTTCAATGATGCCTCAATATAACACAGAACATCTCGACTTATCGGATATAAACAAATAGATGATAACCGAATACCATAAAAAATAAAAAATCGTATGATAAGAAGAAAATCGGTGATTAAATAAACATAAAGCCACATCATATTTCGTTGCCGCAACGATGAACAAACAAGAAATTGTATCCAAAAGATGCAATGAATAGCCAGTGCAATACTTTCAGTAATAACAATGGGTGTTAATAGGTCAAGATTCGTTGGTGACCAACTGAAAAGCGTACAAAACGACGACATTACTGATGGAGATTTCTGTATTCAATGAAAAGGTTAATACGTCAAACAAGATGTCGAAATGGTTGAAAAGTTCACAAATGAAGTGAATGCTATTTTAAAATATTTCACTGACGAGAAAAAGAAAAACTAACAATGGGATGTAAAATAATTTAACAATGCTCTTGCATATATTTCATATCGGTGAACTCGACATCCTACAGATTTCTTTTCTATGACGTTCATGACTCTTCTAGTGTTCTAACATAAAGAAGAGCAGCGTTTCGTTTGGTTAATGATATCATTACTAACTCAATGAGTTGCGCATCGTTATTTGAAATTATTTTCAAGATGCTCGTTAAGGACTTGTTACGAGTAAATACCTTCACAAGAGAACAGTACTCTCTATTTCTTTCAAATATAGTAGCAATACCAATTTAGACGGAAAGTTCTCGTGGAAAAGTGCAGGGGCTCTTGCAAGCTTATCTTTGTAAAAACGTTTTCTTTCACTGTTAAAAATGTTGAAGTCAAATACAATGAGTATCTTCACACACATAAACACATGAAAAACAATCGCTTTATGTCAATAATCAGTAGAGAAAGAAAATTTCACAGGAAAATACAAAAAAAAAACTGATAAACAAGATCGGTGAGGTAAGATTTAGTTGTTGTTGTCATTATGCGTTCTATTCAGAAAGAATTAAATACAGAAAAAAGGTCTAAATCATTAGAATATATGTGGATGCACAAACAAAGAAAAATGTGGAAGTGATCATGGATTTGTATCGATATTGCACTCGATATAAAGTTGTGAAATAAACGAATCGAATTGAAATAGAAGAAAAATCAAATAGAGAAAGAACAATCATTCACGATGTACAACACTTTTTCTGCGTACCGCCTACGACTGTTCGTTTTGATCCTATACGAGTTGCACCAGCTGATGGTTGTCCACTATTCGGCTGAATAAGACGTCGTTTAAGAGCAAGTCTAGTGATTTCATTAAATGCTTCCGCTATGTTCTTATTGTCTTTTGCAGATGTTTCAAAAAACGGTAAACCTTTTTGTTCGGCATAGGCACGTGCATCACTTGTGAGAACAACTTTACCTAATTCATTATCATTATCATCTTTGTTACCGACAAGAATCTTAGGGACAGTTTTATCACAATGACGTTCCATTTCAGTGATCCAATCTTTTAAATTAGCAAAACTATCACCGTTTGTTACCTGAAAAATGAGAATATCAATGAAAATTAAACGATTAAATACTAATAATGATACACATACATCATAGACAATGATTACACCATCAGCACCTCGATAGTAAGTACCTACAACAACGAAAAAGTCAAATTTTTATAAAAACATTTTTGTTCTATATACTTGTAATAACACGAAAACGTTCCTGACCAGCCGTATCCCTAAAAATGAAATAACACTGTTATTTATCTAAGGGCATCATAAACACTAATCAGCTATTCAACATTTATGACTTCAAAAACGAAGAAAGTCAATTCTACGCACCAGATTTGTATACGACATTGATGTCCGTCAACGTTAATTGTACTCATTTTAAAATCTACTCCGATTGTTGTAATATAAGCAGCTGTGAAGATGTCATCGACAAATCGTACCATCAACGAACTTTTGCCAACACCTGAATCTCCAATAATGAGAATTTTAAATGTTTGTACACCTTCTAAATTCTTTGTCGTTGCTGCCATATCTAAAACGGGAAAGAGAGAAGATTGATTTGTGATAAATTATTTTACTTCCACGTAATATACAGAATTATTTGTTTCACAAAAAACTTTCATTCATTCAAGAGAGAGAGAGTGAAAAAACGAGAACGAGACAATGAGAGTACGAGGAGACAAAGCTTTTTTCATGACGATGATATCTACGAAACATCAGGCTCGAAACCAGAAAGAAAGTGCCGTGGAATAAATATTGACGAAGAAAATACAAAACAAACGAAGTTCTATGGACGGATATTCATTTACAACATGCACCAGTATGTTTTTTATTTTTCTTCTTCGATTTTCCTGCTCCTTTCAGTCGAATAGCTTGCGTTGCTGAAGTTCCATTTGTCATCGGATGATGTGGCATTGCTTGTGCATTTGCTCGTGTATTCAGACGTTGATGTAAAGCTAAACGTGTCAGTGTATAGAATGCTTCATTGACATTTTTATTATCTTTGGCTGAAGTTTCGAAAAATGTTAAATTCATTTGGCGGGCGTATTGTTCAGCATCTGCAGTCGAGACAATTTTTGGTGATTGTTCACTATCTGATGAAGGATTGTCATCTTTATTTCCTATAAGCACTTTTGCAATGTTCTCATCACAGTATTTATTGATTTCATCGATCCAACGACGAATACGAAAGAAGGATTCACCATTAGTTACATCGTATACAATCAGAACACCGGCGGCATCACGATAATACTAGCAAAGACATGTACACGCATACTAAAACTAATTGGTCACACGATTCAACTTACAGTGGTTGTTATCACACGAAAACGTTCTTGACCTGCCGTATCCCTGCAAGAAAAGAGTAGAACTATATGAAATTCAACAACTTATATCATGTATGACTAAGTCTACTGATGACTGATTTGAGCAAATAGAACTTTTTTTTATTAAAACGAGAATTTCGTACTAACCAAATCTGAACTTTGCACTGATAGTCATCAATCATCATTGTCCGAACTTTAAAATCGACACCGATAGTTGGGACAAATGATGGTTGAAACGTTTCATCAACAAAGCGAGTCATTAAACTACTCTAAACAATCAAATAAACATGACGGCATAGAAGAGACATTCTTCGACAAACACGAACTTTTCCAACACTGGACTCGCCAATAATGAGAATTTTGAAATGAAATACTTCACTCGATCTGGCCATGTGAAATTCAAGCACAATCTCTAGTCTGGACTCATCACAACCTGATATATACTTCTTTGTTTTCCATGTAAAGATAAAAAAAATGGATAATAGTGATTCATTCATCATCGTACACCTACCTATACATGAATTTTATTTGAAAATGCGAAGACGAGCGACATCTATATGTTCGAAAGTTTTCAGTTGATTTTTGCAGAATATTTTCGATTTTCGAGATGTTTTAAGAAAAAACATGATAAATCTATGATCGAAATAAATTTTCGGGATGGTCAAGTTGCGAACAAAGAACACCCGGTCATTGAATCTGTATGTTCGTTGAGTAGAACGAAAAATCAATCGAAACGATTAAGTCATGGATGAAGTAAAGAAAAAGTGTACTTCAACCGACATGAACGATGAGAATGCTCATGATAATTTATTTAATCTTCAAGTAATTCACTTTTTCAATAAAGTTTTCTTTCACAGATCAACATCTTTCTTTTCTCTAGCGATTAAAAGATGGTTATGTATCGATTGCGGACAAGTTAGGTCACAGTAAATTTAAACCTTATCTTCAACGTTTATTTCAATCTGTTGAAATGATGCTTGTTCAAGAAGTTACTGAATTTAAAAAGATCGATGCGAAATATCAGTAAGTAATTCTTTGAAAGCATAATTGGCATCTCTCCTTCTTCGTAATATAGGGATATGGTACGACAATGTCATATCTATGAAAAAACACTGACTACACTGAAAGAAGTATGTCGAATAATACACTTGTCCAAAAATTCTCTCATACTCTCCTTTTTTTTTCTACAGAGCAACTCTTGTGAATTAAGTGCGTTTAGGTAAGTTCACATCTCAGTTAGTATTTCATATTTCAATACTGATCATTTCAGTGAATCAAGCAATACATATGCATTAGACGATTTAACAAAAGTCACACCTTACCTTGCGCCTGATCTTCTGCAGTCCACACTGGGTACTGGAAACGCTGGTGGAAGTACATCAATACAATTTCGTTTACCACGTCGACGTTCCTCGTTGTCCACTCGTCAGTTCGTATCAACACCACTCGGACCAACACGAACAATAAAGCCTGCCGTTCCTCTTGCTCATTTCGATGATGAATCTTCTTTGATCCTCACTAATAGTCTCGGCTTTCAACAGCAAGCTGTATCAACCGAAAAGCAGTTTGTCGATGCTTACACCGAACCCGAACCCTTTCCAACCATCGAACAAAAAGATTTCTCATGTCAAATCACTCCATCCTACGCTGATAAAGACATTGAAACCACTCATCTCATCCTCGAATATCAGTCAACTCAAACTGAAACGATCTTAACAGAAACAATCGCTTGTCAAATCAATCCATCACTGAACGATTGTTCAATGCAAACAATTCTTAACGAACAAAAAGACTTCTCATGCCAAATGTTCCCAACTACAATCGATCAAATAACAGAAACAATCATCACCGATTATCATACACAAATCATTCAAACAGATGCGATTTCTACCAACGATTATTCATGTCAAATTACACCAGAATATGTTCATCAACAAATCGAAACAAACTCAATCGAAACTCAAGATATCGCTTTACAAATATCATTCGATAATGTATAGACACCCATCTTTGAAATACTTGATTTGATATATATTTGTTTGTAGAAACCAATAGTTGATGATCAACAAATTCAAACTGATACCATTGTTCATATTGATGGTTCAACTCAATATGATCCTGAAGTCGAACCATCTACACCAATTCTTCCCATTGTCTTCAGTGAAGAACTACCCATATCAAATGAAATCGAAATTCTTCTTACCGATCAAGATATTCAAACAGATATCAAAACGTTTTTCGATCAAGAATGTCAAACAATCAACAGTACATTAACTTACTCTAACGAATGCACGCAAACACCACATGTTTACTTCAACGATTGTGCATCACAATCCACCATTCTCACATATGACAATCAAAATATTCAAACAGAACCGGATTCTAGTTTGTATTCATCATCGCTGTTCATTGTGCCCACAGAAACTCTTCTTCCATCACATTCATCAACTGTTCTGATTATGCCGAAAGAAGTTTATTCATCACCGATTGTTATCGATCAAGCACTTCAATGTGATCTTGGCTCCATCGAAACAATCATTCCTATTGAAATTGAACGTCCAACGGAAACGAGGGATAGAAGAAGTCTAATTCAACATCAGATGGACGAGAAAGAAAAACAAATGAATAGAATCATAGGTACGTTTAATTCAAGAATAAGCTGAAAAAGATTTAAAATTCTTAGTAATCCCTTGTGTGTAAAATGACCCAGTATTAGTCTGATATGGCTTCGGGTGACTAGATTTCCATTGAAAAGATTAATCATTTACCTAATTAACTTCTGTAATCTGACATTTGAAATGCGCAAGGTCTCTTCTACGATTGGTTGATAATGTTTTGCTTTATATTGCGTCAGCGAAAAATATTCTACTGATTAAAATAAGACAACAAATGATCCGAGTGTATTTAAAGTCATTCCCTACCTTGATTATATTAAATTGCTTCATACGTTTTCTTCTATTAACAGATAAAATTATCTCCAGTCAGGAATATGACAGCAAAATTAATTATAAACTGCAAACCTTACTCGTTTTCATACTGACTAATCAACAGAAATAGAAATTATGTTTTCCAAGTTCTTCAGAGAAATTTTGTAATCACAAAATCATGTGTCGTAGTATTTCCTTTGTATTTTTCTAACAGCTTGAATATTTCTTTCATATTCAAGTGTAATTTTTCATTCAGATTTAAATGAGATCTAATTATATCATATCCTTCTACTCTTTATTTTTGTGTATTTTCCAGATGCACGAAGAAAAAGGTATAGTCATAATGATCTGTCCACCAGAAACACTGATGAGAGCTTGGAGGCATTCAATCATGTGATAAAAAAGAAGATTTCATTCCATAAGAGTGAACTAAATGTATGCACAATAGTTAAAATCGGAAGATACACGCTTGAGTTGTGTAGGATAGGAGTTAACGGATTAGAAAAAGGAGTTATTTATATCTTTTTCTTTTCTAGAAGAATATGCAATGCTTTATGGAGAATATGAAACAGAACGACGTCGTAATATGGATTTAACAGAAGCGCGTGATCGATTAGCGGATCATATCAAAGTTTTGTCGGATGAGCTCGGTGATAGAGAGGTATGTGAATCGAGTTTGGATGAAATAACTCACGAACGAATTGGTAAAATTTTAGATAAATCAAGAAAAATTGTTAATTAAAAGCTGCCAACAAAACAAACTGATCAATTATATGCTACCACAAATTGATTGCTCCCCGATGCTGAAAAAAGTACGAAGAGAAATCTTTTCAATCAACCACTTCAATTTCTTTTTCTCTTTAGAAACATAATTCAGCCAGTAGTTTTCGTCGACTTTTACCTAAATTCAAATGAATCTTAATCCTGTACAGAATCTTTTTTCCTTCTTGTTTGCTGGATATATATCTCATTATAAATTCAATAAAATAAATGAACGAATAGAAGATCTATTCTGATCGCAACGGAATGAAACTGAATCTCGCGCTGTGTCTATCGATCGTGTTCACTTAACACCTACGAGTAGAAAGGCATATTTGAGCAGAATGCCAATGACTATAATTAGACTGAAGGAAGTGAAGAAGAAGAAAAAAAAAGGACTTCTCTTTCTCGCTTGTTGAAGACAGTATTCATTTGACAAATCTCTTCTGTAAAGGGAAACGTATAATTTAGGTAATTTAGAATGAGACATTCTGACAAAAGTTTAAATCAAAGCGAGAAGACATTCGAGATTGAGACAAGACTTGCAATAATAGATCTATTGATCATAGGAAATTATCCATGAAAATTAGTTTTCAAAAGAAAAAAATGGAGCTAGTTTTCTGACTCATTGTTTATTTATATAGAGAAGAAAAGGAAGACAAGCACGGACGCGTTTATTCATTCTATTTCGACATAATTTTACTTTGTATTTAGTTTTCATTAGATAAAAAGAAGTTATTTTTTTTATGAAAGAAAGAAAACGAGAAGTGCTTCTCTGTTTGTGTGTTGCAGCCGTATATTATAATGACATACTCGAATGTAAAACTATTTCTTTCTTCATTCTTCGATGTAAAGCTATTAAATTCGCTTCGCTATGCAAATAGTCTACGCTCGTCGGATAATTTTCCATTTTTAATAAGACAAATAGAATTATTAGTGACTCGTATTGGTATATTTCTTTCCCTATAATAGAATGCGATTAGATTCTCACATCAGATGCTGCCTACATTTATTTCCTAGTCGAACATATACTTCTATATCATGTATTTTGTTTTTCTTTCGTAAAGAACATGTGCACTTGTGTTATTTGATTATTATGATTGATTACATTTCCATTGTAATGGGAAAATAAGAATATTTTCTGTAAATCTTCGATTGTTCAGTGAAGAGACACACAACTAGAAAATGAGAAGTATACGCTTTGGAAAAACAATGTCAGTAGTGTTTGTCGGTAGCTGCTGAACTCTTGATTATACAATCATATTGTTCTTTTTATATCTCTTATTAAAGTAAGTTTCTATATGAACTCAATTAAAAGAGATTCCGTGCGTGTTAGACATGCTTTGACTTTTCCTACCATCAAAGTGAGTTCTACAGTCAAGATACTTGTAACAAATAGTTTGAAGTACATTGAGGAATATGAGCAGTCGAATTGATTGATCATTTGTTTGTTGATAATCGAGAGAAGAAAAGTTTTGTTTTTTTTGCAGACATTCGTGAAATCATTTCGAAGAAAAACATAGACAGATGTTACTTCATGATTCATATTTTCATGCATCAAATCGATCAATTAGTAAAAACTACTATGGAACAGTAGTCGTGTCATATTCGCCATTATTTCACTCGACATTTACATTAATCATAAGTATATTAGGACTATTCTTCAATTTGATTTGCTCGATTAAAACTTGTCTCGTTCTTTATCAATATCGACAATGGAAGTTGAACAAGTCTAGCGGCGACTCACAACGATCTAAACATGTTTTAGCACATACCAAATATCGTTTTCTTTTCGTTTTAACAAGTAGTGATGTTCTTTTATCTTTATCATCGATAATTAGCTGTTTGGATGAGAAATATTTCTATCAAGCGTTTCTCAGTCGGCATCATTTATGTGCCGCGCATATTCTAATTTGGAAGTTTACACTTCATTTCACTCCCTTATTGACCATTGCTATTCTTTGTCGTTATCATTACGTTCTGAACAAAACTTTCCAAGTCCAAACGCCGAATGTGTCGACATTAAAACAATTGTTATGCAGCGATTTGAACGTCTTAATCGCCTTTGTTTTAGCAGTTGCTTGGTCGGTCGATGGTTTATGGTTGTGGGGTGTGGCGAATATCAATAATTATATTAAATCGTCGGCTATGTCAACGACGGAATACATGCAACTGAACGAAACATTGTTGAATGGCACGATGAATAGAGGAACTGAAGGAAAGATTGATGAAATCGATTTATTTCTACCCGAACAGACAACAATTTGTTACTTTTTGACAAATCATAATTTTGAGTTCTCTGTTCGATTAATTCATTTGATTCAAGCTGATTTTCTTCTCTTATTCTTTTTACATTCGTTTGGTAATGTTAAATACCGAAAAAGAAGTGTCAAATACGACTGGTTTCTTTGTTCTAGGTCTTCTTCTCGAAATCATTTTACACATTCGCTTGTGTTGTTGCATGTTCATTAAAAAAGTCACATCAGCAGTTCAGCATGAACGGCAATTATGTCTGTACATACTTCACATGTTCATGTTGATAACAATTACATCATTACCGTTCTATTTTTATCGCATACGTGGTTTTATCTTTGACACATCAGCAAATTCAATGGCCAATGACATCAATATTAGTCGAACATTTGCTCAAATACTTCTTGTGGGGATATGCATTAAGCCCTCGTTAGTTTTGATTTTGTTTTGTCCATCATCGATCTTGTTTTATCTCAAATACTGTTCGTTGTGTTTTTCAACAAATAATCATTTATTGGAACAGGATGAAGAGAATAAGTCACTCACAAATATTTGTCAGTTAAACGTGCAACGACAACAGCAACATTATCGGTATTCATTGCATGGTCGCTCAACAGAAACTGGCAAACATTATAAAAAATCTCGAACCGATTCTAATCCTGTCTGAACAAAAAACGAATTATTATTATGAAAATTGTCTCGGAGATTTTTTGTGTTTTATTTCAAATATAAAAGAAAAGAAAAGAATAAAAAAATGAATTTGATACTAATATTCATTGTTGGAGTTCAATGGGTGCATTGAAATTATTGTTTGGATTTGACGGATTTGTCTTTATCTGCTTCATCTTCATCATGTTTCTCAGATTTGCCGATTTTTGTTGGTTTTTCTATTTTAAAAACTAATCCAGTGTGTTTTGGTTCGCACACACCACCGACTAAGATTTCATCAGCAAGGCATTTCTTTATATGAGCAGTAAGAACGGTCGCGCGGAATGGAGAAACGCGTTTTCGGCAAAGACCATTTGAGTAATATTCGGTGTCGGGTGGACAGATATTATCAACCAAGACAGGTACTAATTCTTCAGGAATTCTATTCTTCAGATCTGATTGTTCATAAGTGATATCATTCATTGGTTCGAATGATGCCTGAGATTTGATAAATACACATTTATCATTATATTTTTTCATTCCGGATGGACATTCACCATTTGTAAGGAGATCTTTGACTTCAAAGGTGTGTTTTGAACTTGTTTCTACTTCATCTTGGCAGGCACCGTCTTCATCATATTTCGTTCCTGGTGGACAACCTTTTGGAACATCGACAACTTTGGAATGTTCTTCAGTGTCTTCGGATAATTCAGTGGTCAATTCGAATGATTTTATTGCATTTTCTTTGTATTCTTTGGTGTGGGCAACTTTGTTGGTTTTATCTTCATATTCTTCTGTATGATCAACTTGAGTAGTTGCATCTTCGTATTCTTTTGTATGGTCTAATGGTTTAGTTGCAGCTTCGTAGTCTTCTGTGTGATCTGATTGTTTGCCTGCATCATCATGTTGTTCGGTGTGTTCTGATAATTGGGTTGCATCTTCTTCGTGAAATGTTTTTGATTCAAGGGTAGTGGCTAAATGTTCTTCAGATTTGATATCTGCGCAGATACCGTCTTCGCCACGAATCTGACCTTCTGGGCAAACAACGACCTTTTTTCCCGTCTCTTTGACTTCTTTAATTTCTAAAATAGTCGAAGGAGACATGAAAACGTCTGGATATGATTTATTCGTTAGCAAAATTACCAGTTTTCGTTGAGAATCGTTTGCACTTTCCATCGACCCATTCAAATTCCTTTGGACATGGTTGTTCCGTTGTGAATTCTTCGGTTGGAACTAGACAAAGAAGGCATGCCATCTATCACACATCATTAATGCAAAACAAGCACTTACATCCGTTCGTTGAATGCTGATTGAATAAAACAATCAGTAAAGTTAAAGCAACCGCACATAAAAGTTTCATGTCTTGCTACGTTTGATGTGAATAAGAGAGAATATCAAAAGACTATGATAACATGCGAACATTCGATTTTTCGTTTATATACTCCGAGTAGAAATAAAGAAAACAAAGAAGGATTTTGTTATAGTCTAAATGGCACATTGACTATCTAGGTGACAATGACCAAAGACAGAGAATATCGATTATTGTAATCATCTCGTCTGTTTTTAGTCGGCCGCGATCTTTCTTTGTACAAGTGTTGAAACGATTCGATCGTTTTTGACCTGTTGAAATTAAATCTTTCAGACTATGATAACAAGTTTTGAAAATTGCTTTTAGTATTACTTTTATTTTATTATTAGTCAAACTAACATCTTGGTTCATCTGATTGAGTTGACAGAGAACGACATCTGTTATTAGCTAATTATGTTCAATTGGACGTGTTCCTTGTCTTATTGGAAAATATCTATCTAATCCTTCCTTATTTGCTATTTATTTTGATGTTATCAAAACAAACTTCTTAAACTCGTATTTGATCTAAAAATAAGAATGTTTTTATGAAGATAAAAGGTTATCGAAAGAAAGAAAAGAGTTGAAGATTACATATGGTACAGAACGACTTGTAAGTAATGCAGTTCTCGCAGGAAAAAACCGAGTATCTTGCTTATGATTTGAACAGATGAGTTAGTTTATTCATCGAACATGTAAGTTAGGTATAGACAAGCTTTAGAATTACAAGGACATATTTTGACCGAAAGAAAGGATAATACAGTTGACAGTCAGAACGGTTAGTCAAATGAAACATAATGAGGTATAATGAACTTCCAAATAACATGTTGTATATTCTCATAGATTTGAAAACACACGCTGTTTTATTATACGATATAAATCGGTTTTATATTACAGTGTTTGAAAACTTTCTTTGATCTTTGTAAGCAAACGTTTTTCCTTGGAGTCTGTATATTAACTGAATAGAAGGTTTGTCAATGCATGTCATGATGAATATAAAGCTTGTTTGTATCACCGTGATCGATGAAAACTTAACTGGCTTGCTCGAACTACAAGCGAGATATTCGACTTTCTACTTCAATTGCATTACTTAGGGACAATCTTGTATATCCGTAGAGAGTGGCATGAATAATGTTATCTCGCTTTCGATATCGTATATTTCAGTTTTTATAGATCTTGTAGCTCAAAGTCAAAATCAATGACGGATATTGACGAAAATCAAAGCTTGAATCAATCGAAAGTAGCCGATCAACATAGTCCGGACGGGCGTCAAGGATCAACCATTACTTTTTACTCGTTAAATTATACAATACGTACTCAAAAATGTTGTAACCTCTGTCCATTACCATTTCTGACGAAAAAATATCAACGGATTCTCTACGATATAAATGGCGTCTTTAAACCGGGTATGAATGCGATCCTTGGAGCAACTGGCAGTGGCAAATCATCGTTATTAGACATCTTAGCTGATCGAAAAGATCGCCAAGGTCTCGATGGAGAAGTTTTAATGGACGGTCAAAAACAGACCGATGATTTTAAATATCAAGTTGGTTATGTTGTTCAAGATGATATTATCAGCGGAACATTAACAGTACGAGAAAACCTAGCATTTTCCGCCAATCTTCGTGTATCGAAAGCAATTTCTCGAGAATCGAAAAAGGCTATTGTTCAACAAGTTATCGAACAGTTAGGACTGGAGAAATGTGCAGAGTCAAGGGTAGGCACGGAATTAGCACGTGGAATATCAGGTGGAGAACGAAAACGAACAAATATCGGTATGGAACTAGTTCTCTCGCCATCAGTTCTATTTCTCGATGAGCCAACAACAGGTAATTCAGTAAACGAGATCATACTCAATAAGAAATCGTTTGCATTCGTCATTTTAGGTCTTGACTCATCAACCGCTCGTAATGTCATGGAATATCTTCACGAGCTTTCACGACGTGGACGTAAGTCACTGTCAAACATGATTTAGAGTTCGAAGTTCTGAAAATTTCCTTCTAGGTACCATTATTTTCTCAATTCATCAACCTCGTTACTCTATCTTCAAACTATTCGATACAATATTTTTGTTAGCTGCTGGTCATTGTGTTTATCACGGTCCTGCCAATGCAGTTCTACCTTACTTTTCCTCCATCGGTTATGACTGTGAACAACATGATAATCCCGCTGATTTTCTTCTCGATGTCACTCAAGGCGATTGTTCATCAGCGTCCACCAATGATCCGATTCCAGATAAAAAGCACGAACAGAATGCTCATCGTTTACATGATTTATACGTTAAATCTGATATCTATGCATCCTTACTTCAGGTAATTGCGCCGACGAATGGTCAACAACTAGACACGGCTGTCTATCATCCGGGTTCCAACACTTCAACATCGCGTTTTGGTGAAATGCTCTATGTTTCTCAACGTACATTGCGCACTGCCTTCCGCAATCCAACTTTAGTTATCATGCAAACAGTAGTAACAGTACTCTTTGCAACACTTGTAGGATTAATTTATCTCCAAATCGACCGTAGTGAAGACACCGGTGTGAAGAATCGTATGGGTGCCATATTTTTCATTGTAACCAATCAAGTTATGGCCAATCTATCAGCAATCGAATTATTCCTCAAAGAACGTATTTTATTTATTCATGAAAATGCAAGTGGCTACTATCACGTGTCCACATACTTCTTTGCGAAGTTATTGTGCGATCTGATTCCATTACGTCTCATTCCATCGATGATATTTTCAATCATTGTCTACTTTATGATTGGATTTCAACAAACACTAGCGAAATTCTTCATCTTTTACTTAGCCATCTTTACTACGACAACATGTGGTGCTGCATTTTGCTTTTTACTTTCAGCAAGTGTGGAAGTATTTGGTATTGCAAATCTATTAGCAGCAATGACTTTTGTTCTAATGATGGTTTTCGGCGGATTTCTTGTCGAAATCTCTTCCGTAGTCAATTTTCTCTCCTGGATCAAATGGGTTAGCATATTTCGGTATTCATTCAACATAATCAACATCAATGAGTTCAGTGATTTGACACTTTGCTTGAAAATCAATAAGACAATTTGTCCAATCAATGGAACGTATATTCTACATAATATTGTACATATTGAATATGAAAATGAATGGGATTTGTGGAAGAATTTCGTGGCGTTAGGCTCTATGACAGTCATATTTCTTATTTTGGCATATGTTCAATTACTTCGAATGAAAAAAACCAAATGATCCGATCTGAAGCAAAAGTCATATTAACCTCTATTAGCTCAGTATTTTTCGTGTTCAGTCAATTCTAGCGTTTTCTTTTGCATTTATCGCCGTATTTCTTATATCTACTTTTCTTGAAATCGAATTGTTTGTAAAAATATTATTTTTTTTCAAAAGTTTTCAAACAATTCTTTTGGAATAAAGATTCGAGTAATAAGAGATATGAAAAACCGAACTTTGTATATGTAGTTGGCCTGCATGTGTTCGATTTTGTAATGCTTTTCCACATATGATAATTTTCTCAAGTCGACTGAGCGATGTCAGATGCCTCTGTGAATGAGATAGACTATAAAACATATTAACAGAAGTGTTATGATTGGTCTTCGAAAAACTATTAGGGAAAATAGCAGAGGTTCTGTATTCTTGGAGTTCACGCAGTGAAAGAAATCCAGCGAGACACAGATATCTGTTCTTTTTTTCCTCGCATCAATGTCGAGAAATAACGAGTTTTCGATCGTGCTGCAAGTCATGTTCACTTCAAAGGAAATATCGTAAAATAAGGTTAATTGAGTAATCATTTTCACGAATTATACTTTTACGCAATGAACATTGCGCAGCATCTGTATTTGCAATAGAAAATTGGCCATTATTAGTACTTAACCGAGCCGAACTCGATCGTTTATTAAGTCGTAGCAAAGATATCTTGAAATGTAAAGTAGATATATAAAATAAACATATGTAGTCATATATTTCTCTTTCTCTCCTGACTCTTGAGTTGATTAAAATGAATAGGAATCCATCTGATGCCATAGCTTGTACTCCATATGTATGAAAAATGAATGTGACATCGGTTGCAAGAGACCAATGGCTGACTGAAATTCAATTTGGAAATATTGGAGCGGCTTTGTTTATTATAACATATATCGGATGTTATGGATTAGGAATAATCTGTTTTTTCGGACAGCAATTGAATGAAATCCAACGGCAACGATCTGAATTACCAGCGACGTTCTTAAAAACACTCTGGGATGTGCCGAGTAAAAATAAACTCTACGGTAAGTAATTCGCTTCGACAGCATCGATTATTTCACAACAGAACATAACTGTTGTTTTCAGAAGAATTATCTGATATAGATCGTTTGAAACGGATATTCTACTGTTATTTCAATGAACATGAATCATTTACGACGATAAACAATAACGAACTTCAATCACTGGCTGAAGAACGTGCTTATGCCTGTGCAATAAAATACCGGCAAAAGATTCGACGTTTGCATTTGTCTCATACTGATTATTATTCAGATACGATTCCACGTTTATCTGTTAGTGAGACTGAATTTCAAGAACAGATTTTCAGATCATTAACATTATTGGGACGAACGAAAACGAAACAAAATGAAGATCAGGAATATCAATATTTGTCAGTATCTGTTGTATAGAAAATGACTTCTTTCTTTTTCTGTTTCATTAAGCACATTTTCTGTTGATTGACATTTAAATATTACGATTCTGTAAACGCCAGTTTTCATCCATTTTACGTTCACGATTTCCCCAACCAAAACCCGAACCATTCTGACGGGAATTCGTTGAGAAATTCATCTTGTAATTATTGTTATTATTCACAACTGTATGAGATACTAACGATGACTGCATTGGATGAACATTTGCTATCGTTGAGGATGTACCAGCAATTGACGGTGATGCTAATGCAGATAACATCGCCGAAATCTTCTGTGACGAAACATTCTAGGGAAATGGAGATACGAAAAGCTATGTATTCGGATTTATCACGTACTAATGATGGCATCACAAGTGGATGTATTATTGATGGTTGTTTACCAGGATTGGATTCTTGATTCGGATTCTGTACCTGAATTAATTTCGAATATAATGATCGGATTTTCCCCTCCCTTACGAAGTTTCGTTGTAGATTCGCCAAGAGTAAAACCTTTGCAGTCAAATCTGGATTCAATGATTGGAAACTCATGTTTTGTTCGCTTTTCCGTAAATTAATATTGATAAATAAACAGATTTAGTGTATTTTTTCTTGTGAAGAATACAAAACAGACACAATAACAACACGACAATAGATGTTTCTCTTTTCTTCTTCTAAGGAAAAATACTTTCGAAAGAATTGCTTTGCGCTTATTTTCTACTCGTGCTTGACAACATCAATCAAAGTTCAAATTACCATATATTTATCTTTTAAAATAGGTTCAGATAACAACGGAGTGTAAAGCAAAACAATATGGAAGAATGAATAAAATAAACACTAGCAGTTTAACCTAAAAAGAGGAGGAAGTGATAGGCTATTGTGATTACAATTCATCTTTGTTTCCTTCGTCACCAGTAGGTGGAACATCACCGCCTGGTGGTGGTTGTTGACCTTGATAGAGTTTTGTCATGATGGGTGTGACGACTTCTTCGATTGATTTCTTTTGTTCTTTGAAGTCGTCGACGTCGGCGGATGCTTGATTTTCATCGAGCCATTTAATTTTTGCGTCGATTTCTTTTTCGATTGCGGATTTGTCGTCTGAGGAGAGTTTGCCACCGAGTTTATCTTTATCAGCAATTTGGGTTTTTAATGAATAAACATATGATTCGAGTTCGTTCTTAGCATCAACACGATCTTTCACTTTTTTATCTTCTTCAGCGAATTTTTCCGAATCCTTGATCATACGTTCGATTTCATCGGGTGATAAACGATTCGTATTCGAATTGATTACAACATTGTTCTTATTTCCTGTTCCTTTATCTTCAGCAGTGACTTTGAGAATACCGTTGACATCGATTTCGAAGGTTACTTCAATTTGAGGAACACCTCGTGGTGCGGGTGGAATACCAGTTAGATCAAATTTGCCTAAAACATGATTATCTTTGGTCATTGGACGTTCACCTTCGAAAACTTGAATGGTGACGACTGGTTGATTGTCGGCAGCAGTCGAAAAGACTTGACTCTTCTTTGTTGGAATGACCGTATTACGTGGAATAATTTTTGTCATCACACCACCGACAGTTTCAATACCCATCGTCAATGGATTGACATCGAGTAAAACGAGATCACCCGTATTTTCTTCACCTGAAAGAACACCAGCTTGAACAGCGGCACCGTAGGCTACAAAGAGAATTCATTGAGAAAACAAACAGTAACAAATTTAGATATCGTACCAACAGCTTCGTCAGGATTGATACCACGCGATGGTTCTTTACCATCAAAGAATTCTTTGACTAATTGTTGAACTTTTGGAATACGTGTTGAACCACCGACGAGAACGACTTCAGCAATATCGCTTTTCTTCAAATCAGCGTCTTCCATTACTTTTTGCACAGGCTTCATTGTCGATCGGAAGAGATCCATGTTGAGTTCTTCGAATTTGGCACGAGTTAATGTTTCGCTAAAATCTTCATTATCAAAGAATGATTCGATTTCAATCTTAGTTTGATGCTGTGAAGATAATGTTCGTTTTGCCTTTTCAACTTCACGTCGGAGTTTTTGTACAGCACGGTTATCTTTTCGAACATCTTTGCCGGTTTTCTTTTTGAATAATTTGATGAAGTGTTCCATAACACGTTGATCGAAATCTTCACCACCCAAATGTGTATCACCGTTGGTTGCAACGA